CCACGAGTGCGAGAGAGACAGAGCGATCCTTCGGCACCAGCCCGCAGGACGAACCGCGGACGAGACAACGTGACGGCAAGCGCCGCTATTTCGAGTCGCCTACGCCGTAAAAGATCAAACTATAACCTGTAAACGCACGCTCCGTCACGGACGTCGTCACCACGGCGCGCGCCACGTGTCTCCCACACTGTGGGCAGCGCAGCGACAAAGCGGGCGCGGTTGCGGGTTCGATTCCCGGCGGCGGCCGTCGCCCTTTTTCGCGGCCGGGGTCATTGCCTAGCGAAGTTGCCGGCCGGCGGGGCGGACCTTCGCTTCATCCATTTGCTTTGACGTGGACGCGGACGCCACACCGTGGGCCAGGCCGTGGGCCAGGCCGTCGGCGCTGGGCCGGTGCTTCTGCCAAGACGCCGCCCGGCCCCGCCCCGTCCCGCCCCACTTCGCGGAGCCTCGCGGATCGCGGAGCCCAGCCCGGCCGGGCCAGCGCCGCCAGTGGAAAAACAAATGAACACGGGCAAGCGGCGAGCGTGCGGCCGCGACGCAGTGTACCCGCAGCGGACCGATTCCGCGCACATCGTGTGTCGCGGCGCTCTGTCTCTCTCGCACCCGCACGGCACGCCCCGCGAGTGCGAGAGAGACAGAGCGATGTAAGGTACCGCACGCGTCCCGCCATTCATCCCGCGATCGCAGGGTCTAAATCAACATCAAACGAGTGAAAAGAGAGCAACAAAATTTGGTAGCGCACTGCCAACGCCAGAGAGAGGGGCACGCACGACGCACGCCCAGCGCACTGCGAGCGGGGCTGACAGCGAAGCCACACACGTGCACGCCGAGCGGGCCGGGCAGAGCGCCGCCCCCGAGACGGCAGCACCTTCCGTCTCTCTCGCACTCACGGCGCGTCCCGCGTGGGTGCGAGAGAGACAGAGCGACGAAGGCGACTCTCGGCGCGAGTATGCAGAGAAGCCCAGGCACGTAATAAGCCCCAAGCTGCACTAGTTCAGCTACCGGCGACCGACTCCGGACAGCGGTTTTCGACGCTCCGTCTCTCTCGCACCCACGCGGAACCTCCCGTGAGTGTAAGAGAGACAGAGACGAGAAAAATTTTTGCGCGGAGTCAGTCAAGGGGTCGGGGCGAGCAGGGGTGGGGAGTGGGGGGGAATCCAACGGCCGGACAAGTCCACAGGATGGTACTCGCTGGCGACGTGAATGGCCATGGCGCGGGCGGGGGGTTTGATGCACGGGGTAATCCTGGGTAATCCTGGCAGCGGAGCAGCGAGGCGACCCTAGAGGTACAGTACTGCCATCACACTGCCATCGAGCAACGCGGCCGTATCGCCGTGCACGCAGCAGACTCGCTCCGGAGGTGGTCGCTCTGTCTCTCTCGCACCTGCACGGGGACGCCCCGCGAGTGGCGATAGAGACAGCGACGAAAACGACTCTCGGAATCAGTCTGCAGCGATTCAGCGTTCAACGACGAAACCGCACGTTAGCCTTCGGCGCCCCGCGGCCGCAAAAACATGGCCAGGAAGGAGGGAGGGGAAGGGGAGGGGGGGATGGCACACCGCGATGAGAGGCAAGCCCAGGCAAGCCGCCACGCGTAGCAGGTGCATGCCCTTCTCGAACGCCGTGCCGTTTCTCTCTCTCTCCCCCTTTAGAAAACAAAAAGACCCGAAAGGGAGAAAACAAGTGTTGTCGCTACTGTTCTTGATTCCATTCATTTGCATGTTGTTGTTTTTTTTACGCGCGCGCTAGAGCGGCCCTCCCTAGGCGGCGCTAGGCGCGCGCAGCGGCCCACCGGCCTGGCCCTGCCCAGCCTAGCGCAACAGGTGCGGGCCAGGGAACACACGCCACACTGCTAAAAACAGCAACAACAAGACAAAAAAAGCTTTGGAACTTGCTTCACGAACGTTGAGCAACGGTTGAAGGGTCGATATCACGCCGGCGGCCTCCCCTATGTCATGCCCCCAGGGCACCCAGCACACCGCACAGCGCTCCTACATTCGTAATCGAGAACGACACTGAAAAATGAATGGGTAGACAGCCCCACGCAGAGATCAGCGCCTTCGCGTTGAGCGCTTGGCTCGCCTTGGTCGCGAGGGGCGAACCCCGACTCAACGCACCCTGTTGCAGGTGTCCAACCCCCCGGCAGCTCCACTGCGAACCCGACGCGCCCCGAGGGAATGGCGCTGCACACCACACGTGGCTCCCGGACGCCCCCCTAGGGCGACACGCTGAATATGCAACGCCGCCGGGCCGACCCGACCCGACCGATAGAAAAAGGGGGGCGGGGGCGGCGTGGGAACACGGGGACAGCCGTATGGCAACCCTTGAGGTATTTTTACGGCCCGGTCAACTTCCTCCCGCGTTCTCCGTTATTCCTCGGCTGATTCACTCCGTCCGACCTCTGACTCATAATGCGCTTGATAAGCAGCGGCGCGCCACTGTTGCGGGGCGGCCGGCCGGGCAGGGCGTTACGCCCCCGCCGGTTTGGCCGCGGCCCAGCCCGCCTTGCCGACAGCGAGGTGAAGATCCTCCCCTTGGCGGACCGCGGCGCGCAACGCGGACCGCGTTTGTTTGGGGGAAAGTCAAGTGCGGCGGCCGGCCTGGGGCCCACAGTGGGCCAGAAGACCGGTGGAGGCGGACGAAACTCCAGACGCGTTTTGAGCTCCAGAGTCGCTGAACAGGACTCGAACCGATCGTGTGACCCCACCAATGGATTCCTCGTTCGGAGAGCAATCCATTGGTGGGGTCACACGTTCAGTTCGAGTCCCATTTAGCGACTCTGGAGCTCAAAACGCGTCTGGAGTTTTGGCCGCCTCCACCTGTCTTCTGGCCCACTGTGCGCCATCGGCGTGCTCACACGGCGTGGTTAGCACCGCGCCGAGCCCCGCCACGGCCGCCGCGCCGAGCCGCCGCATTCCTGGCCTTTCTCCGGGAGCCGCGCGGGGCGGCCCATGGGGCGGCCGGGCCCGGAGCACGCCGCCGTCGTCCCGGGGGATGATGCTCTGCCCCGCGCGCCCCGAGTTCAGTTCGCCGAGGCCGCCGCCCCGGCCGCGCGCGTGCGCCAGCGCGAGCACTTTCTCGCGGGGCGCTTACCCTCCGCGATGCCGTCATGGCACGCACCGCACGCTGGAGTCCGGCGAGTCCAGCAGCCGGGGCAGACTGCTCTCGGGCGTTCCGCAGGGGTGCGAGAGAGAACGGCGCCACCGGCCGCACCTCGGCGACGGCGACGGCCAAGTCGCCAGGAAAACGAAGCCACTTCGACCCGCTAAACGCATGCACTTGGTGGCGTGGCCTGGCGTGGCCTGGCGTGGCGTGCCATCCGCCGATTACTGCAGCGCGACTTTCCTCCAGCCTCCGCGGTCCGCCCCGCCCCGCCCCGCCCCGCCCCGCCCTCCGGACTGCACGCACAGTCACACACGCACGGCCAACAATCAAACGGTTGAAGAAAAAAAAACCGACTAAAAATACGGCCGTGTGTTCCTTCCATTCCAATTGGTTCTTCTCCCACGTGGCGACGGACTGACTGCCATTTCGAAAAGGCCGCCGCGACTGCAGCGCTGCAGCGGCCTGGCTTCGCTGGCTTCTCGGTTCTTGCCGCCGCAAAAAACCGAAACGGGCGCGGCGGCGCGGCGGTCACAGTTTGACCCCGGGGCATTAGCACGCCGATGTCAAGTCGAGTCGCGCAGTGGAGTGCGGAGTGGCGGAGCGCGGGGCGGCGGCCGAGTCGAACCACGCCGAATGCCGATTCGGAACTTCGGAACGACTTCGGAACGACGCAGCGCGGCGCGTGGTGCGCGTCATGCGTCACTCCGCGTCACTCCGATTTACTCAATACCTTGAATGCCGTTTGGCCCGACAGGCTGGGGCTGCCTGGCCGGCCGGCCGGACCTAGAACGGACCATCATTAGACGAGTGTGTTTCAATTACCCCCCACCCCTTCCAAGGACGTGGGTGGCAGGTGGAGGGGAGGGGGAAGTCCTCCAGTGTTCACCGCGAGCTTCACCCCGTCCACGACCAAGTCCGACAGCTGCGCCCGGCCGCGCCGGCCAGCCCGAGTCCGCCATGGCGCCTTGGCCGAGCTACCCGCCAACCCCAACCCCAACCCCGTCACGGTCCGCAACCCCCACCCACCCCACCAAGGCAGCGAGGCAGAGGGAGGGCAGGGCAGAGAGCTCCTTACCCTCCAGCATGTGGTCCGCCAGTATCGGTAGTTGAAGTCGTCCTTGCGAATGAAGACCTCCATAAACTCCCAGCCCCAGCCGGCCTGCATGGCGACGAACCGAACACTGTCAGCCCAGACATTCAGCCATGTTGCCTCGGGCACCGGGCCCGGCCCGGCCCGGGGCACCCGGCACCCCGCCGGCGAGGACGAGTGGGCCCCGAGTGGGGGGCGGGTGGGGTGCGGGGGTACCCGGGCCGCGCGCCCCGCGCCGTACGCGCACCTTACTGCCGAATTTGCATTGAATGCACACGGTAACACCGCCGCGCCGCGCCGCGTCGCCGGGCCGGGTCAAACTCCACCTCCCGACGGTGTCACAGTGTCACACTGCCTGCCTACCTGTCCGCCCTCCCCGGCCCTGCGTCGCCCTGCGCCCTGCCCCGGATGCTCGCCCGACTGCCGACCGCGCTTCCTGGATTTTAACCTCAGAGGACACCCGCAACTGGGTTAGGCGGCTGCCCTTCTATCTGGACTGGCAGAGAGGGAAACGACTCTGGCTGGGTCGTCGAAGGGGAAGGAGATTCCCTGTTCGGCTCATCTCACAGCCTGATAAGAGTAAGCAATGTGCAGCAAAGTGTTAATGACCTCTCTTATGCCTTTCTCTTATTGAAACGAGGACAGTAGATAATGGCCAAACGGCGTATGGCATACCGTCAGAGAGAGATAAAAATAATGTGGTAACCAGACTGCAAAGGTCCGATTCAGCATACTCAGGCTCTACGATTACGGACTGACTAATACAGAAGGTTTAAACTACGATAAATACAGAATGATGTATTACCTCTTGGGTTAATTCCGATCCTGGTGGAGAAGCTGTAGTTGGTGCTGGATCAGCAGGTTCTGTGTTTCCAGCAGAACTGAGAGCTCCAAGCCTGACGCTCCCCACATCCACATTCAAAACATAAGCTGTCACGTTGTGGTTTAGCGGCTCTATTCTGTTGTATCTCCCAAGGGCATTTAAATCTTCCATCAAGTCCCTCTCATAATTCAGCAGCACAGAATCCAGACTCTTGGGATGCATCCGTCCAATCCGGTTGTTGAAAGGGTTGTTAAACTGCGCATTCTCAAATCGCACACCTCCACCCACATCGTCAATGCCTATTCGCACAGGGTGGAACTCCGAGTTCCTCCGGTACAGGTCCCTGTCTACACCCAGCAGGCTGAGGAGGAGGGCCAACTGGAGCAGCTCCTCTCGCCACACTTTCTTGCACCAAGCCATGGTCACTGATTAGCTTGAAGCGATTCACTTAGAAACACATTGTCATGATGTACACAATCACTGTCACTCCACAAACATCACTTGAATTTCACTGCCACTTGATCATGGCGCTGACACCGCACTGTCACTACACTGGCACTTCACTGACACTTGCTGCGAGTCCTGGTCCGCGTGTCCAGGGTCCTGCCGGAGTCCTGACGTGGTCCTGACGATGTCCTGCCGGACACAAAGGACCTCTTGCACCACTCTTTGTCCCGATGAATCACTCGGACCGCGCCGGCCCGAAGTGCCGCCGGCCCGGGTTCCACCAGGCAGGGCAAGGGGCGTCGACGCCGAGGTGCCGGGGCCGCCGCCAGGAGTCCCACACTGTTAAAGTCCCTTGCGCAATGTAGGTAAACAGCGCGCTGGGCCCTGCCGACAGGCCGTCAGCCGGTAAAGTGAGGTTAGAAGGCTCTGTCACCGCGTCCTCGCCTCGCGATAAGACGACGGACTCCGACCTCGCCGCCGTCGCCCACGGGGTGCAGCACGCCGTCCTCAGCGCGGGGAAGTCCGACGCACTTCTGCTTCACACGCACGCCACTGCAAATAACGTCGACAACGGGAATCGTCTGCTGGGCGACAAAACAGAGCGGTCGCGGCTGGGCCGCCGGCAGCACGGAGCCAAATGGCAACTCACGGCGGCGCAGCACGGGCGGGCACGGTACGGCTGGCAAGCCGCACCACTGCTTGAACGCGGACGAGCTGCGCTGCGGGCTCGCAACGGACGCGGTGGCGGCGGCGGCTGCGGCGGTCGCGTTGCGACTGGAAGCGGCGCGGCGGCGGCGGCAACGCCACGCGCATGCGCACTCCGCGACTCGCGCCGCGCCTTCCCCCGCCCGCCCGTCCGCCGTCTCGGTCAGTCTCTCTCTCTCTCTCCCAAGCGGCACGCGCCTGGGTGCGAGAGAGACGCGCGACCAGCGGCGTCCCGAAGGGGGAGGCACCTCCCTCTCAGCTGACCGGCTGACGACACACCCGCTCCCACACAAACCACCGAACAACAGGCGCAGGCCTCCGGATCATTGTTTGTTATTGTGAATCGCGTCTCGGGTCTCGAAACGAAAGCCTACGATGCGGACGCTGCACGCGAGGGATGCAGCGCGTTGCGTGCGCAGTGCAAGTGCAGTGGCCGGTGCAGAGGCAAGTGCAGGCCGCACGCCGCACGCGTGACGCAACCAACACCAGGGAAACATCCCGCCTGCCTGTGCGGCTTGTGCGGGCCGGGCCAACATTCCAGCCGGAAAGTTCCACGGAGTTCCGACCGGCGCCACGCGACGCAGGCGAAGTAGCCAAAGTGTCCCCAAGGCCCTGCCTCAGATAGGCAAATGCTATTCGAAGAGAGGCACTGCTCAAGTCACCAGTGCGGCCACAATGAGCCCTCCGCAGCCCTGGGACCTCGCCGGCGCCGCCTCGCCGTCGGCCAGCCTGGAACCTTCCAGTGGCTGCTCCGCGTCCGTGACTCACCATGCTGCCCGCTGGAAACCGCTGACGAGTGACGATGGCGCTTTCGGGACTCGGATTTAGGGGGCAATCGCCTGCCACCGCGTGTCCAGCTTGTGGCTTTGGCTTTGGGCTCAGGCGACGCTGTGCCGACGGCCGACGCCGCGTGCGAGTCGCTCAGATGGAAGATGGACGACTGTGTCGCGGGGCCGCGCCAGCGCTATCATCGCCGCTGTTTTGGACCGAGAGGGCGAAGCTGGGCGCGGCTGGGGCGAGCGGGCTCGTTCCGAGACGAGAGGCAGGTCTCCCTACGGGTCCGTGCGGGTGCGAGAGAGACAGACGGACCGAACCGGGTCGTCCGACGGCGGCAGTCCGACGGGGACGCAGTGGACAGTGGCGGGCCGGCCCGGTAGAGCGCGCGAGGGAAGGCCCACTCGCGGCGGGCCGGGGTTCGATTCCCGACAGAAGCCCCCGTCCACGCGCGTGTGTGGTACAACGGCAGTCGGGAACATGCATGTATCAATATAGGTTAAAGCTTGATAAATATTTATTTATTACACTCTGACGTTTGTACTTAAATCAGTATAGTGAGAACAGAAAGCAAAGGACAAATTAAAAAGAAAATCACTATGTTTTAAACATGCATGAGCAATGAAAGAGACAATACAAAAGTTAGAGAAAATCGTCGTTATGATATATATAAGGCACAGGAAGTAAAAATTTATAAGGCAATAATTTAGAGATGTTCATCTGTAGGTGTTCGTCCATACAAAATTCACAGATCACTTAAATCAACAGCGTCCACCCGGGATTCGAGAGTGGCAGTACTGCTGCTTGATTCGCTACTTGGTGTGCTTTGAGTGTCGCCAACTCCTCTAGATATGCAAAGGTTCTTCCATGCAGCGGGTTCAGCTTTTCTCAGTTTCACTTCAACTTTAGTACCCAACATCTGGGCACTGCATTCAGCTACATTAACAACCTAAAAAAAAAAAAAACCTCAAAATCAGTTAGAAAGCAAACATGGGGGCCCACACTGTCAGAGCCACACTAGAGGGTACTTACTCCACCTAACTCCACATCCAAATTGAAGCAGTCTTCGGTTTCAGGAAAATATAAATTAATCACAAGTCTGATAGGATTAACTTTCACTACAGATTTGACCGGATCATATTTTTTGGCAAATACTGAGACAACAGTAAAATTTCCTGTCTGATGCCAATCATATCTGCAGGAAACTCCAGACTTGTCCTGAAATTTATTTTAAAAAGGTATAAATTTAAGCCATTTAAACATTTTTAAAAAATGCCAGGAAATGGGACTTACCTGCTTTTTGAACCAGACATGTTTCCCTGTACTACATCCAGCTTGTTCTAAGAAAACATTGAAGTCTGATGTCCTCCTGACACAACAGCTCCAAAATTTCATTCCTTCATGAAAAACTGGAAATCCTGGGTGGTGAATGCATTGATCATCTATTGATCTAACACCTTCATATAACTAGAACAAAAAACAAAAATTACATTTTAAAAATGAGATAAAAGGAATGTTAAAAACTATAAATAAACAATAGATGAATTTACTCACTACTTTGCAACCTCCATTTTTACACGATGTTCCAATTGGAGGTATGCCATCCCCTGGAATCTCATTGGCAGAGGAACCCAATTTTACAATGCCTTCGATTTGCTGCTTGAGGGAGGCAGCAATTGATGGCTTCAACTCCGTCAAAGGACTCTCGAATGGGGGGCGCTCCAGACTTGTTTGCGTCGGAGGTTTAACAACAATCACCTCATCCTTAGTCGATTTATCAACAACTTGCCGTTCCGGTTCTGGAGGCGCAATATTGCTATGAAAGGATTTTGTACAACCCTACAGCAATGAAAATCAAAAACGGTTAATACACTGCCCAGAACCAACGAGAAATAAAACTACAATGCAGAGAGGACTCACTCGAATGTTGAGGAATTCCGTAAAGTCGGTTGTCTTCTTGTTGCAACACCCCCAGCCTTTGTATGCATCATGAAAGACAGGTTGACCAGGGTGATGGGTGCAAGAGTCTGAACAGGAAAATAAAACACAATGAATAGATAGAAAGGCAAGTTAGTTCTAAAAGAAGTGATCTTTCACTGAGACATGTGGTAGGTTAACTCAGGTTTTACACAGACCTTCCTTGTTTTCGTCAGGGTTATACTTCTGACCGCAGCCCACGTTGTAGCAGAAGAGGAGTTCTTGTGGCATTTTCAAAATATTTCTCTACTACTGTGTCTCTGAGGATAACCAGCACACCATTCAAACGCTTCTAGAAAGTACCACAGAGAAGGGCGCTCGAGCAGCAGCACCCTACAGAGCGCACTGATTATCGCCACTCCGAGGCCGAACAAACTGATGGAAGCAACTTTGTAAATTTAGAAGGCCAGTCACTTGTAATTCAGGAATGAATGGTTCCGATCGATTTCGAGTGACAGTAGCACATACATTTAAAAACACATGTGGAATCGCAGAACACTGCGCGGACCGGTGCTGAACTTTTCATACTTGTCCACACACAGACGGAGAAGAGAAGGGGAAGGAAGCTGGGAAGCGAGGGAACTTCAAACAGAAGAACTAAGTAGAGCAAAATTTTATTCATACCATATAAGAATCAATTAAAGAAGACAACATTTCCACCCATTCAATTACATTCTAGAGTTTAAAACATCAGAAATTACATAAACTGCCTCGTTATCACATCCAACAACTACTTTATCTTTATTTACATCCACAGAATTAACTCCTTTATGTAAAGTCGGCATTAATGGGACGACATTAAGACGATGTTTAACAGCATCAGTGTTGAGCCACGGATTTTCGTTTTGAAGAGGATCAATACCTACAACACAGCAAAAACAGATTATGAAACAATCCTGTATTTAATTGCTATTTTTTCCCCCTATACAACAGGACACGATGCTCTTACCTGTCCATGACATGTTCTGGCCAGGCCTTGTGGATCGTGACACACTGCTGGTATCCCAGTGCCAGGATTCACCATTTGATGAACAAGAGAAAAGGTGATCTGGTCGATCGGGATGGAATGTCATTTCACTGACTGGAGGAGAATAACAATCAACATTAAACTTTAGCTCAATTCATAATCTGTGCATTCAATGACAAAATTACTAGTTACTTACCAAGGCCTGAATGAGCAGCAAGTGGGACTGCGTAAGAGGTTTGTCGAAGATCCCAGACAGTTATGGAGCCATCCTCCCCCCCAACAAGGATTGTATGCTGCTGTGTTGGGTGCTGTGTGATGCAAGTGGCTCCCAACTAGAATTTTAAAGAGCAAAATTAACACAAAGATGGCCGAAAAAATAAAAAATCAAATTAGAAACTCCAATTTTATGGCCTCACCTGATCTCCAGACAGCATGAAGGTAAGAATGGACTTGTCGTCAGCTATACGCAGGTCCCATTTTTTCATTTGACCCCTCAAATTTCCGGTCAAAATTTCACTGTGGCGCAAATAGAGGATGCACCTCAGGGAGCAACTGTCAGCAGATTCTAAACAAAACAGAAATAAGAGATGACATTTAACCAATTGAATTCTAAAAAACAATGCAGTTCATTAAAAAATCAGCATACCAATGATTCTCAAAGGTTGTCTCTTTTCGAGATTTAGCGACACAATGCTACCGTTTTCTCCAACAGTCGCAACATCACCTAAATAGGTGGCAAATCCAGTGCAAGCGCCCAGTTCTCCGGTTCTGAAAACAATTCACGTCTGTTAATCTGCACTTGTTTTACAGCAGAGACAGAAGGTCAGTCCACCTCACAAATGATTGAGATAATCGTACTTAAATGAATGAAGCTTCCGCCATGACATAGTTGGTTTCAGAACAGTGTTGGCTGCATCCCCCACATCCACGATTGTCATTAGCTGGACAGTACCTGATGATGTTGACACCAAGAAGTCATTGTTCTGGACAAACTAGATGGAAAAAATAGTTATAAAATAATTAAGTTAAACATCTTAACATAGTACCATAACTACAGGATCATAATATGATTTACTTTGAGCTCTGTGACATCTCCATCAGTAGGTGAAGAACATATAAGAGATGGATCATCCTTTTCTTCAATCCCATCAATGGGGCAAGACCACAGTGTCACTTTATTTAAATTCTGCAAGTAAAAATTGACATGAGTGAGACATGCGTTTGACTGGGTGGTATCCATTTCATGCGTTACGACGTCAAAAATCGATAAAACAGAGAAATAAATGTCACGGCTATAAAAACTTGCTACCTGGTTAGGAAATCAAGAGACGTCATGAACGAAAAAAATCGAAGTACTAAGAAATGACATGATGTAAGGGAGAACTAACCTCGTTATCCCAACTCCCAGTGACGAAATGGTGAGACTCGTATCCGTTCTCCGGCTTCCACCGAACTTTGGAGACTTTTTCAGAAATAAAGGTGCCCTGCACTCGGTCATCCATTCTGAAATATTTGGCTGCACAACTGCACTGCTGTTAATCCGAGGTTCAAGGCTTCTGTTTACGTTTTGAAACCCGGCACTTGGCGCGACACTCCGCGTTTTTACAACGTTCTGCGGAGTTTCTCATATCCGAACCTCTGGTTAGGGAATTTCCTGTTTGGTTCTCTGCTCAGCACCACGCCAGACTCCATCTTCACGAGTTTATTGTGAACTGTTGACTTGATGTTTTAAGCTTTTCATTTGAGTGTCTTTTCCCAGTTTTGTGTTGGACGGTGACCGCTGCAGTCATGTCGAAGCGTCGGATAGAAGTAATCGACCCGTACATCACCAAGAAGTCAAAGTAAGAACTCTTTTGGGATTCGCACTCGCGTCGTCTTGTCACACATTTTTAGGCGGCGAACCATGTTTTCGCGAAGTAAACGAATACCACGTTACATTAAAATATCGACGATAGCTACGAGTTCGCAGGCTTGCGCTTACTGTTGTCCAATTTTCTTGTCATGGCTCGCGCAATAACTGCCTCTGTGTGTTGTGTGTTTGTATGAGCGTCTTAACCTCGCGGTTGCCTTGAAAACGTGATCTTTGTTTATGTTTCTGCCAACCCCTGTTCAGCTCGCAAATTTTGTGCGCGCAATGGTTTCAGTACATTGAATCATTGCTATCCAATTCGGGTCCACCGTGTCTCCTTTCTGCTGGGATTATTGTGGACCTGTAGCCTGTCGTTGCAATGTCTTGTAGCTCTTTGAGGCATTTGTTCATTACATGCTGCAATTCATTGCTTTCAGAGCCGGTGGTGCTACAGGTGCACCAGCAATACCTGCACTGCCAGTCGCTTCAGGCTCAGTCACTCTCCAGAAGACTCCAGGGATCAATCTATTCACAGGCCTACCTTATACGCCAAAGTAAGAATCCTCCGTCAATTGCTCGGTACTTTGATGAGAATTACTCCTAACAAGCTTTGCTTCATGTTATAGGTATCATGAACTGCACCGGAAGCGCATTCAGCTCCCTGTGTTTGAGTACAGGGAGGAATTCATGAACTTGCTTGCTAATCATCAGAGTATTGTGCTTGTTGGTGAAACGGGATCTGGAAAAACAACCCAAATACCCCAGTGGTGTGTTGAGTATGCTCTTACACTCGGAAAGAAGGGTGTTGCTTGCACCCAACCACGACGAGTGGCAGCCATGTCAGTCGCCCAGCGAGTGTCGGAAGAAATGGATGTGGCATTAGGACAAGAAGTTGGATATTCCATCCGTTTTGAAGACTGCTCTAGTGCAAAAACAGTTCTCAAGTACATGACAGATGGTATGTTGCTGAGGGAGGGAATGTCAGACCCAATGTTGGAAAACTACCAAGTAATATTACTTGACGAAGCCCATGAAAGAACCTTGGCAACAGATATCCTAATGGGTGTGTTGAAGGAGGTGACTAAGCAAAGGTCAGACCTGAAGTTGGTTATTATGTCTGCCACACTTGATGCTGGCAAGTTTCAGGTATGGCAAACTTGATTTTTGTCTAAATGTTGTGCGTTTCTTAACATGAGTGCTTTTCTTTAATTAGTGATTACTTCTTTCTCTAGGGTTACTTTGACAATGCTCCCCTGATGAATGTACCTGGCCGAACTCATCCTGTAGAGATATTCTACACACCTGAACCTGAAAGGGACTACCTGGAAGCGGCTATAAGGACAGTTATTCAAATTCACATGTGTGAAGAAATTGCAGGAGATGTTCTGCTCTTTTTAACTGGCCAAGAGGTAGGCTGTTATATTATTAGTTGCACCATATTTCTATGTTTCTCTCTTTCCGATTCTTTAAAATCATCTTTTATTTTGGTTGCAGGAAATTGAAGAAGCTTGCAAACGAATTAAGCGGGATATGGATAATTTAGGACCAGAGGTTGGGGAGTTAAAATGCATTCCTCTGTACTCCACATTACCCCCTGCGCAGCAACAGCGTATTTTTGAAGCCGCTCCTCCAGCCAAGGCTAATGGTGCTGTTGGAAGAAAAGTTGTGGTGTCTACCAACATTGCTGAAACATCGTTGACCATCGATGGAGTCGTTTTCGTGATAGATCCCGGGTTTGCCAAGCAAAAGGTCTATAATCCCCGCATCCGTGTTGAATCTCTATTGGTGTCGCCCATCAGCAAGGCCTCGGCCCAGCAGAGGGCTGGGCGTGCCGGCCGAACCAGGCCCGGAAAATGCTTCCGGCTGTACACTGAAAAGGCCTACAAGACAGAGATGCAGGACAACACATACCCTGAAATTTTAAGATCAAATTTGGGCTCTGTCGTCCTCCAGTTAAAGAAGCTTGGTATTGACGACTTGGTACATTTTGACTTCATGGATCCACCAGGTAAGACCATGTCATGTTCTATCTTCCTAAATCTTCAACATTGGATTTTGGTTAAAATGATTTATTATTATTGTTTTTTGTTTCTGCTAATTAGCGCCAGAAACTTTGATGAGGGCCCTTGAGCTGCTTAACTACTTGGAAGCCCTTGATGACGATGGAAACCTAACAGATCTTGGAGCAGTCATGGCAGAATTCCCCCTAGATCCTCAACTTGCCAAAATGTTGATTGCCTCATGCAATCATAACTGCTCCAATGAAATTCTGTCCATTACAGCTATGCTGTCGGGTATTTACCATTTTTACATTATTTTATTATTTATCTTAAGTTTATTTGGCATGAGTCATGTTCATTTTGCACTTGTACATTACCTAATCATCAAATTTAAAGTTTGAAGTAGTGTCTATATATGTCACTCCCCTACTTTGTTTGACTCGGAATATTTTTTTTCTGAATGGTCATTTTTATTATGAAGCAATTTGATATGACCAGCAATATTAGTCTTGTCTGCAACTGCCATATTCAGTAATCTTTTCTGATTTCCCACCCTCTTTTGGTTACCATCTGAGGTGCATGGTTGAAAGAACTCTTTTTTAAAAAATACTCAAGTAAAAACTGTTTTTGCATTGAATTATCAATTTTGAGTCAAGTCAAAGAATGAAAGCTGATATGGCAGCTGCCTGGTCACAGAGTATCGTCCGGAGAGATGTGGTCCCCCTACTAAATGTCGGATGTGGGCCGCCCGTCTGGCCTCCACCCCTGCTCTGCCTGCTGTTTAGTCCCACAGTGTTTCATGCGACCAAATGATGGAAGGAAGCAAGCAGACGATGCCAAGATGAGATTCGCTCACATTGATGGAGACCACCTGACACTTCTCAATGTCTACCACGCATTCAAACAGAGTATGTATATTGTTAAATCTTTTTCTAGTGTTAATGTTCTTTGCTTTCATTATGCTTTCACTCTGCTTTTGGTTTGTTCTATAAGATCAAGAAGATGTTTCCTGGTGCTATGACAATTTTGTGAATTACCGCTCCATGAAGTCTGGTGACAATGTGAGACAACAGCTTTCAAGAATAATGGACCGATTTAGTCTAAAACGTACCTCTACTGAGTTCACATCCAAGGATTATTATATAAATATCCGCAAAGCACTTGTGACAGGCTTCTTCATGCAGGTACTGGTACTAGTGGTTGTTTTTCTTTTCCTTAAATTTTGAGACATGTGTCATAGTAGCATCTTAATTTTTTTTGCCTGGCAGGTTGCACATTTGGAGAGAACAGGTCATTATTTAACAATCAAGGATAATCAAGTGGTCCAGTTGCATCCTTCAACATGTCTAGACCATAAGCCTGACTGGGTGATATACAATGAATTTGTATTAACCACAAAGAATTACATTCGAACTGTGTCAGACATAAAACGTGAGTTCTGATTTTATTTCATTTTGATGACGTACTCTTGAAAACATTGTCTCTATATCTTTTTCTTGTGTTTTCAGCTGAATGGCTTTTGAAAATAGCTCCTCAGTATTATGACTTGAATAACTTCCCTCAATGTGAAGCTAAACGGCAACTAGAAATTCTACAGACCAAATTGGAATCAAGACAGTACCAAGAAGGATTTTAATGTCCTTAACTGTTGCTGGCTATCATTGCAGGAGTTGTTTTCTGTAACAAGGACTAGAGTTTCTAGTTGAGAAGTTCCTTCAGCCACAAAATTATGGCTTACACCCCAGTAGAGGAAGTTTGGAAAAATTGCCAAAGTGTTGAAATTGGAACCAACACATTTGTCACCTAATTGTCTTTCTCGCACTAGTGTCACAATATATCACATAGTTTTGGCTAATTTGTTTGGTACTAGGGTGGCCACCTAACTGCTGCTAAAGTAGCATTAGTGTCTATTCCTGTCTATTTTTTAGAATATTTCATTCCACTTCAATAAACGAATTTACCAAACATGTAATAATTCAAGTTTGTTTTCTTTTTCTTCTAATTATTACTGAGGTTAGATAGCCTGACAACTTTATTTTTTATCCGACATTATATTTTTGGGCTCTAGTATTTTTTTGTTCTTGCTTTACCTACAAGCGCAATTTCTAATTCAAAAAATATTCAATGAAATGGCTTTTTTATGTATGTAATCGCTGTATATTACTTGTTGTATTACAGGATACTCTAGTATAAGATCTCTCAGCTAGATTTCAACTGGTATTGACATTGCTGTGTCACCTGTGATTCTAGCCAAAGTGTAATAGGTGCTGTCAATTATTTAATATTGTTTTTCTTTCTTTTTACCTTTTAAATTCTATACTGCCTTGTTCCCATATCACAATGGGTTTGATGGAGTTTAGCACCTTTAAGATTCCAGGCTTGCTAGAACTAAACAATTGATTTTGTAAATGATTATTGACGAAGTTTCATTTTCCTCAGTGCTGGAGAAAGCTGAATAGTTTGTAAGTGCGTTTCTGTGGAAAGTCCTTTGGCTCTGTACCCGTTTTATATATTTTCTACTGATGCATAACTTTTGTGACCTCGAAATACTTTTCACATTAGTCTGATTTAAGGTGTTAAAGGTGTGATTGATTGACCACTGTGCACTATGTATTTTTAATTACAAAGAATAAACATTGTGTACATGTGTACTCAAGAAAATTACTTGACTAGTTTAATCATTTAACTTATCAACGCTGCTGAACATTTTAATTAGAATGATTAAATCATGATATTACAAAAATATCTGTTGTTTCAATGCCTTTGGAAGAAATCAACATTTTCCAAACCTTCTGGCATGTAAGTAAGACCTGAAATGTCTTTATGCCTCATGTTGTAGTTTTTCCCCCAATCTGATGAACAACGGTAAAAGGAAGAGTACAGGATATAAAGGATCACTCACTTTAGAACTAATCAAACATTAAGGAGGAAAAATACTCACTCAATTCCTTAGCCAACTTGCTAGTTGCATTGCGAAGGTGAAGTGGAACACCTGGTTGGGGTCCCTTCTGATTGGATATAGTTTGCTTTGCTGCGAGCAGAGCTCGGTACACCTCCTGGGACTTCGGGGCCCTGCAATGTTTCCAAGTCTCAACCATAATTCTTTGATGCTTTGTAAGAAGCCAAGTCCATGACAGGCATCATTAGGGATTTACCTTGCGAGATAAACAGCGCACTGAGCCAAAATGACATCACACTCGGGCATTCCCAGCAATTGGCAGCCCTGCATGGCCGCCACTGCCATGGGAAGTGCTGATGGGTCCGCCAAACCTGCGATTTGAATTTAGAAGTTTGATTAGTTATGCAATACATTAAGTCAAAATCAACAAAAAATAAATTTCCAAACCAATGTCCTCTGCAGCTGCTCTCACAAGACGGCGTCCAACAAACACAGGATCTTCACCTCCTTCAAGCATCCTTGTAACCCAGTAGAGAGCAGCATTTGCATCAGACGCTCTTATGGATTTGTGCACCGCAGATATAATATTGTAGTGTTCATCTCCTTTTTTGTCATACAAAAGGTGAGACCTCTGGTAAAAAAAAAGGGTATTAGAAGAATTTAAAACAATAAGAAATCTAAAATAAAACAAAGGAAGAAAATGCTACACACCTTAATCCCTTCCTGAATATCCCCTAAGGAGATATGGCTTTCTCCATCATCATTAATTTTGGCCTGCAAAGCCATCTGAAGACTGTTAAGAGCATTTCTAGCATCCCCATCACACATATCAGCCAACCACTGAACAGATTTCCTTTCGATGGACCATCTAAAATTTTAAAAAATTAGTACAGTAGTTATAACACAAGACAAGAAAAATAGTAGAATTGTAGATAAACATGCTTAGTTACCTCTTAGCACAGTTTTCCTCTTCAGAGCTGTCATCATCAGAGGAGTGGGTACTGTCATCTTCTCCAGCAACAATGCTGCACCCAAGGGCATTCAATGCCCTTTTCAAAATTAAGAATAAATTTTCTGACTGCAGTTTCTCTAAAACAAACACTTTGCAGCGACTGAGAAGGGCCGAGTTCAGACTGAAGGAGGGATTTTCTGTAGTGGCCCCAATTAATATAATTGTACCATTTTCAACATGGGGAAGAAATATATCCTGCCAAAGGAAAAATGATTGATGAACTTTTCTTCTACCCAGAGAAACAATATTTTAGTGCTGTAAAACTTACCTGTTGTAATTTGTTGAAGCGGTGAATCTCATCCATGAAGAGAATGGTCCGACGTTTGAAATTACGCTTCTCATTAGAGGCAATTTTTACAACCTCTTTGACATCATTTACCCCTGACATTGTAGCTGATAATTTGACAAATCTTGTTCCCTGACGGAGCTTGCTCCGGGAAGCTATGACATGAGCAAGTGTGGTCTGTCAAAATAGTAGTACTCATGATAAATGCTGAACAAGCTTATCTTGCAGTAACATGATACTCAATTATAAACCAGAAAACTCACCTTGCCACATCCTGGAGGCCCCCACAGAATCATACTTGGAATGTCATGTTTGTCAAGAAGCATACGTAATATTTTGTCGCCTCCAAGCACATGATCCTGTCCAACATACTCGTCTAAACATTCTGGTCTCACCTGTTCAGCAAGTGGTATGCCAGATGTTATGGAAGCCTTCTTCGAATTATGGGGTGAAACTTCTTCGGTCTTTGAGTTATGCACCTACAGCAAAATTTTTGAAGAACGAAATCATGAAAAACAATGTTGCTCTATGACGATAAAAATATAATGTTGTCTGCAAATGCAATTGTTTAAATAAACAAACACTTTGACAATGGAAATTGTTCATATTGCGTTAGGACGGATAAATTTACCTGAGGAGTGCCATTGTTTTCGACAACTTTAAGCCTCTTCGGATTTGGTTCTTCGACTGAAAAACTTGGACGTTTCGATGAGGAAGACGGTGATTCAGGTTCGGGCGCGTTTAAAAACAAACACTTATTGACGTGGATTTCTATCTCCTTTAATGGAAAGTCTTTGGAGCACACAGGACAAGCTGCTGCTGCTACTTCATTTGATGTGTTCATGATGACAAGAAGTTTAGACGAGCCGAGTGGATTGGAAAACCACGATAGTTTTGAGGTTGTGAGCGTCACTTTTTGCAGTAAATGACGTTCTTTGTTTTTCAAAACAAAACCGATTGCCGCCTGCCACTGTTGCCATCACAGCCAACTCTTCATCGAACGAAGCCAACAATTAAAAACCTAGGGCTGAATCGGACCTGACAAGGTTCGAGCCTCCATCAATTTCCTGTTAATAAAAAATATTATGCAAGTAGCTAGCAAGCTATTATTATTTGTTTGTAAAGTTGTGTTTTATACCGTCTGATTGGTAGTGCTGCTTTCGACCTTTAGGCACGATATAAAACAACAACATAACAAACAACAACAAGGATTTCAGCTTTCAGCTCTTGTATTTCACCCATCAGCCATGTTTCAGCTCTGCAGCAGAAGAGAAAGAGAAGTCCGCACTACAAATTGTTTTCACGTCTGATGCCGCTTCTAGTGAAACGATTGTTGCTGGTTCATCTTTAGTCTATTTGTAGTAGGTTGGTGTTCAAGTTTTCTAAAGCGTACTGTCCCTTGGAATGTGCAACTCAACCAACAAACTTGTCAAGGCCGAGTTTGCATCCTGTATTTGTCAGCTGCGCCGGTCACTGGTGTTGATCCGTTTTAACTTGCTCGGAGGTGACTCCTGTTTGTCATTTGCTCTGGTGGTTCAATTCTATTTAGAAATCTGCTTAATTTATTGGTACTGAATTAGTGCTGAATAAAACTTTGTTTTTTTTTACTAGGGTGAAAAAAACTATTAACTATGGGTTCGGTGTGGAAAAGACTCCAACGGGTCAACAAAAGAGCCGCAAAGTTTCAGTTTACCATTTCATACCATCAGGTTATGCTTGAAACCACTCCTCGATGGTGAGTATTTAACTATATGTTCTTTTACCTGCTTAATGTGTAAATGTATGCTTATACCACACTTTTTTTTCAAAGGCAACCAAATCGCCTGAGTGTTGTGTTAAGTCGGCGAAGTCGACGTGTCATATCAGAACCTTTACCATGGGAGCCAACATTAAAGGATCCTCTTGTTGGCAATGTCACGTGGCCCATACCTGACAACAAGGAAATAACAATCACCTTATTTAAAAATCAACGTACTAATGAATTTGAAGATAAAGATTGGGCATTTATACTAGAGGATGTAAGTAAAGATTCAGTAGTTACAATGGTTTGTAGGTTTTTCATGTTTGAAGCTGCTACAGGAAGAGTCTGCAGTGGCCCCTTTAGCTGGTGCATAGTCTTGAGAGTTAATACTTGCATTTCTTGGGCATTCATCCAGGTATCAGGTAATGGTAAAAGGCGGCAAATAGCTTGTGCTAATGTTAATATGAGGAACTATGCAAGTGTTGCATCATCGCAACAGCAACTCACTCTTAACTTTCGCCCAACTACCAAGAAAATTGTTAGTGCATCCCTAGAGTGCACTTTATCATGTGTTCTTCTGCGGGAAGGAAAAGCCACGTGAGTTACTCTAATATTTTGTTAAATTTATGCTCAAGTGGATCTTATCAGAAAGATTCTTACTAATTTACTTGTTCGCTATTCTGTAGTGATGAAGATATGCAGAGTATGGCAAGTTTGATGAGTGACGTTGCTGCTGTTGGAGATTTTGATGATGAGGATGACAGCATAAACAATGGTAATGTCTAATTTTGTTCATAGACTGTATTATTCAGCAAATTTTTGGTATTGTTTGGTATGTCAATTATTGCTTTGTTTCTTTGCATGCAGATTCTATGCATCAGTCCCTCCATGAAGTGCTGGATTTAACAGCTCAAATGGACAAACTCACCCAGAGCTTGAGTGGTTCAGGATTTGCTGGTACACCCATTAGTGGTATGGTCTATTTGTTCTTGTTTTTAATAATAATATGTTGCAACTCCCTTAGAATCCTTCTGATTTTGACATTCTTGTTCTTCCAGTGTCCAGTCTCACATCGTTTCCAAAGGACGATTTGACTCCAGTTGCCAGTGAAATGTTCGCCGATAATGGTTTCCCTTCAGCTTTTGAAATGGTCAATAGCAATGATGCAGGGAAGAATGAATCACTCAAGACACCAACAGGAGCTGAAGAGTAAGTTCTAATTTTGAATTTTATTCAAAGCTTGGAATTCAATATGTTTCTTCACTGTCATTTTGAGAATCACTGTCATTTTGAGTATCTCTTTTTTTTCTTTTTCTTTTTACACAGAAAAGCTCAGGAACCCAAGAACATACAACTAACTCTTGAGCCACTCCCACAAGAGGAGGGAGATGTAAGTTTTATTTTTAACTCAAAAGTTTTTGATCCTCTTCTCTTTTTTAAAAAGAAAAAAATGTGCTTGGCCAATGAATTAATTGATGTCAATCCCATATTTTTTTACAGGGATCTGCTTTAGCTTCCTCAACCAAAAAGAGGGGAAAGGAGACAACCCCTGGCCAAAATCTCTTGGAGTGGTGCAAAGAAGTTACAGCACATTATCCTGGGGTTAGAGTTACAAATCTGACCACATCTTGGCGTAATGGTCTTGCTTTCTGTGCAATAATTAATCATTTTAGACCCGATTTAGTGTAAGTTTTCTAACTTTAGGTTTCAGAATGGTTCATTTTCGATTCATTTTCGCTCTTTAACATGCCTATTTTGATCACAGGGAAATGGATAACCTATCTCCTCAAAATGTTCGTCACAATTGTAAAATCGCATTTGATGCCGGAGAAGTTCTTGGGATTCCTAGGGTTATTGACCCAGCTGATATGGATGTTCTCACTGTACCTGATAAGCTTGCAGTTATGACTTATCTATATCAATTAAGAGCACATTTCACAGGTTTGTAAATACTGTAACCCTCCTGTTTCCATTTGGAACACAAAAGGGCTTGTGCTTACATTTCTGTCTGTAACAGGCCATGAACTGGAAGTTCAGCAAATTGGAAAAACGACTGATGAGTCAAGCTATATGATAGGGCGGTTTAACTCTGACACAAACACTGATATGACAGTTCAGCTGTTTAGTCAAGAAATTATGAACTTGCGAAAGAGGGATTTTGGACCTCCGAAGCCATCTGGAAGGTAACTAGGTCGAAAGGCATATCCTGTTAGTATCTGCTTCTGTATTTGTTGACTCCAATCACTGACACTTTCATATTGCAGATCAGTGCACTCAGATTCTGGTGAAGCTGCAGACTCTAATGTCGTTGGGGATTTCAACAGAGATCAAAATCCATCAACGTCTCATCCTTCATCTCCTTCTTCAGTTCAGTCCCGTATTCCTAAAAGCCCTGTCACAGGAAACTCTTCATCTCAATATCCCCCTTCTTCACCACTGAAAGAATCACGCCAAAATTCTTTGCTCCGTTTACGACTCCCTCTCGTGAACTCAAATACAAGTGATAACGCCTCAGATCCCTCCTCCCCTAGTGCTGTTCGAGATGTAAAGGACAAAATTCTTGCGGGTTCAAAGAGCATTCTAGGGAAAGTTCTTTCACCATCAAAGGAAAAGCATTCTTCTAGAGAAAAGGTATGCATTGTTTTTCTATGCCACTTTTAAATCTTCAATCATTTGCGTTTAAATTGATTTTGTTCTATTTCTAGAGCAAATCGCCAACTACATCAATTGAGCGCCCTGTTCTTATGACTCGCCGTCAGTTGACAGACCCTTTTGGATCAGATGATGAGGAAGATTCGTACGTACAGAAATTAATTTTGGGCCTTTGATAACCTGTTTTTGTATTTCAATTTTTTCATTCATGTTTGTTTGTGTTTGGAGCAGAAAATCGGGTGTGAAGAGAGAAACTGTGAAAACTGAAGTTCCTCGTGAATACTCCCCTAGCCATAGTGTGAGTAGTTTGATTGAAAATCTATGTTTTATTACCAACTTTCCAGTTCATGTTGGTTTATCTCTCTGTGCAGGATTCATTAGGTACCCGAGCTCAACTCGGCAGAGAAACCTCAGAAAGCCGATCTAGTGTTTCCCCTTCAAGCGACAAATCAGAGAACTTGAACTCATCTCAAAACGTAAGATTATGTGTTTTTGTTTTTTCCCACAATACTTGAGAGTGATTTGGAGATTTTAATATAGTTCTGCATGAACCTTCATACCTCTTAACATTGATCTGTTTTAATGACTTAATCTGAGTGCTGCATGATGCATGGTTTGACAGCCTTTATTGACAAGACATGAAGAATTGCGTGAGAGAGCTAGGCAGTTGCTTCAGCAAGCTCGTCGAGAAGCTTCGTCTCAGTTTGCCAATAGCCCAGCAGCAACTCCATCTGGGGATGCTGCCACGGAATCCACGCAGGTCAGAGACCCAAAAGTGTTAAAGAACACTTTTCTCAATCATCAACATTTTTAGTGATTTTTATGTATGATTCTTTGAAAATTTCAGAGTGACCAAGATCGTCAACAAATCTTAAGGGAAAGGGCTCGTCGACTGATAGCAGACGCTCGCCGTGGTGTTACCACTTCAGTCGATTTATCACCTTCGGCAGAGAGAACGTCACCTGGAGGTACACACTCTCCCCTTTGGGTGTAACAACCTTAATGTTAGTCTGTCTTAGTTTAAAAGCTACTGATTTTTTCTTTCCTCTTATCAGGTGGAATGGAAGTCCAAACTCCGGGGTCAAGTGGTTCTCCGCAGCGTCAGCTGAGTATTCAAAGCAACCATAGTTCTCCTAGCAAGGTGGGTGTCTTTTACTGAATGAAATAACCAAACATTTTACTACCTATTACTTGTGTTCAAATGTATGCACTTGAAATTTTTTTTAGCCAATGAGTTCTGGCCAGCCTTCTTTGGATGGCAGCTCGGTAAAAATGGCTCCTTCTCTTCACTCATTCTCATCGCTTATCGACAAAATATCACCAGAACGTTCACCAGAGCACAAAGTGGTGAGTCAGAATGTTTCGTTAATTTTATTAACTTTCTGCCATTTATCTGAATGCCCAAACAATGTCTTTAAATATCTGTTTTTAGGTTAGCAAAGAAGTAGGCAGCTACATTCAAAATGAATTGGAAGCTTTAGAAAGGGAGCAGAAACAAATTGATAGGCAAGCAGCTTATCTAGAAAAAGAACTTCGCTTGGTCATGGAATCAGGTATAGCATTAATAAGATTAGAACGAATGCCCCTCAAGGAGATCACAGATATAATTTTGATTTTGAATTTTTGATGTTCTAGGTTCTGACAGGGACCAAGAAGAACATTTAATGTCAGAATGGTTTACCCTGGTAAACAAGAAGAATGCTCTCATTCGTCGTCAAATGCAGCTGAATATCTTGTAAGCACACCTCCTTCTGACCTACCCAGCTCATTAAATTCTTAGGAAAACTTTGCTGTAACATCTATCTTTCTGAACTCATTCTGAAATTTTTTTCTGTTTTTAAAAAAAAATTAGGGAAAAAGAAGATGATTTGGAAAGGAGATGTGAACTTTTGAACCGAGAATTACGCAGTATATTGTCCATGGAAGGTATGGCTACTCCCAGTTGGCAAAGTGACATCTTATTCATTGGAGTGTACATGTAAAAGCAGCTTTTAACCAACTTTTCAGATTGGCAAAAAACTGAAGAACAGAAAATAAGGGAAACCCTTCTCCTTGATGAACTGGTTTCAATTGTCAATAAACGAGATGAGCTTGTTCATCATCTGGATTCTCAGGAACGAGCGTAAGTTACATTTTTGTTTCAGTGTGTTCAGAAAATGTAAGTGGACTTTTGTAATGTTAAATTTTTTGATCCAGGATTGAAGATGATGATGAAATTGAACGTGATTTAAGTCGAGGTTTTGGACAGAAAAAACCAAACTGCAGTATACAGTGAGCGTCTCATGATATATTTTTTTAGGTATGTAGCTGGTAATTTTCTCTGCATTATTTCCTGTTCTTTTACCCCTATCCAAGAGTTAAATACATGGAACCTTGGCTTTGCAGCTGTGATGGAATTGTCAATTTTATATGAACAAAGAGTTTTAGACTGCCAAAGAAGAGCTTATCTGTACTATGTAGATAATGTGTTCTCACTTGATCAAGTCATGTCTTTATTTGTAAGTCTGTAAGTTTGCCTCATGGTGCATTTTGTAAGTCAGGCATTAGTTCAGGACTGTGATTTTTCTGACATCACCTGGACATTTTCCTAAGAGATACACTTTTCTGAATCTCTATTAATAGTGATACTTTCACTTCACAATGGTTCTTATTTGTCTAACCGTTTTAGTATGTGGACAATTAAATTGAATGATTTGTGTTTTTATTGTTAAAAATCTGATTTCTAAAATTCATGCTCAAAATGCTGGCTCATTTCAACAATGATGGAGAACAAAGATATTCTATATTTTTAATGTGTGCAAATAGCAATTATAGAAACGAAGCTTTGTTATTAAAGATCACCATGGTAATTTAAACTGTATGTTTTAAAACTGCTTTGTGACTTACCATAGTGAAGGGGAAACTCTTAGACAGTTGTTAGCACATAAATCTATATCTTGTGATAATTTGTTATTGCTACCAGTCTGACTCTCAGGTTATAATAAATATTCTAGTCTTATGATTCAAACATTTTTAACTAAGTAGTACTTTTCTCACGTTAGAAGGTGTGTTCGAGTTCCTCCTTGTTTTACAGGACTTTTTTAGTTACACATTTGGTGTATGCCACGAGAGGCTATTTGGTACATTGCCATTGTAAGAAGTCAAACAGCATCAAATTAGTATACTCAGTTTGTGTTTGATTTTATTTTACCTTAGAATAGTTATTTTCTTGTATATTTCTTTTTTCCCTGTGAGAGTAAAGATCTTTTTTTTTAACTTCTGCAAGAATATGGAAGTTTCAAGTGTTACTATGCGCATCAATTTACATGCTTATATAACTTCAGATTAGTGTGCAAATGTCAAAGTGCCATTGTTTTTCAATATCAACCTTCAATTCTTGTAAGGTTTATGAAATGTGTTCCTTTGCTATTGGATTTAAAATCGGCATACATATGCTCTTAATGTTTAAGTATCCTGTTACCCAAGTTACCATTTAATTAATTTCTTGTGGTTTTTCACCTTGTTTTCCTTACCCATTTAAAAAAAAAAAAAAAAAAAAAAAACTTTTCATTCAACATTAAAACTTAGTGAAAAGGGAGTGAGTAATTAATCATATATAGCTAAGCCATGACCAGAATTAACCAGTGTGCTAAGTGTTTGCTAGTCGCACAGATGTCTGTTTTAGTTTTTACTTTAACTTGTACTGCCTCAAATTTAGTTTCTCATTATTTCATTTCTTATGTCCTTTGGCTTTTCAAGAGGACTGTGTATTATCAATGATTAAATCATCTTGTCCCTCAGCTCTTAATCACTCCCCATACACCAATTATCGATTTCAAGCAAAATCAAAGTGACCAGAGTTTTTTTACTTATACAGATTGTTTGGTCCAATTAAAGTCTGTGTAAATTTTATTAATCTTATTTGAAGTGGATGATTTACGATGAAATATATATTAACATGTGATAGTTCATTCTTACTTAGGATAACAAAGAACTGAAAACCACAGCAGTTATAGCCCTGCTTGAATTGTCCTGAACTCTCTTAATTGATGATTAATTTTAGTCTTAATGACAAATTAATTCAAATAATTCTGGTATTGATGTTCAATTGCTCTCATAGAAGTGTAAAGGAAATTGTTTCAATTTTTTTACTAATGATTTTTCACATTTAGCAAATGATGAGCACAGTGTGTCAAAGTGTGATATATTCTTGCATACTTCACATTTAAGTTTCCACAAGGCTCTAAACATCTAATCTTATCTTAAATTAAATAAATCTTTTGTACATCAGTGTTTGTCTCAAACTTATAAGGCTGCAAAGATATTGCCCGTTCTTGCCGTAGTACTGTTGCTCACTTTATCCTCTCTCACCCTCAAAATTCATTGAAATAAGCTCCTTGTGATTTTGGATTACATTTTGGTTCTGATACTCTGTAAATAAGTGTGGTCCTGTCCAAACTGTAATCATCCTACTGACAAATAAACTAGAATGTAGTTTTTACCCAGTGATTTGATTCACACCAGCCCAGCTATTTAAAACGTGCGCCAATTACGAAACAAATGAGAATATGAAACGACGGCCGACAGTCATTTGACTTGCCATTAAGGAAGGGGGCGGAACAAACTTTTAAAACAATGATCACCATTAACTTTGAAAAATGCATGATTTCAGTTTTACAACGATGTTTGATAAAACTGCTGTGTTGCACGGGTAGGGTAACTTCTTCTTAGTGACACGACATTGCTGGACTTCAGCAATTTCATCGGTTTTATTTAGAACATCTTTGGCGGCATTTTGGTTCTTTAACACCACGTATCCATCCGCGTCGACGAATCGACAGAGAAAATAGGTCGGAGAACGGACTTGCTATGACCCATTTCAGGCCTGCCTTTGAAAACCCCTTGTCTAAATGAATACTTGAACACGGCAAGTCGATTTTTCCCTATTCCCTCCGGATATCATTGCAAGCTTTTCTCAAATTATTCACGGACCGAAAATTTGGTTGGCCCGCTCTTTTGGCGACGTCACTTTGACCTCCGCGCGAGGCATTCTGGGACGGTAATGGAGGGCGCGTGATTTTGAACCATTCTTGATGCTTGTGATGTGGTCGTGTATACTTAAGTTTTACGAAAGTGTGTACGTAGTTTCAAGCCGAGCACGTGTGTCTTCGCTCCGTCTTCACATAAAGGTCGCGTGTGTCAACAATAGTGAACCGAGAACAGCAGAATCGTTGCTCTGTCTGGCACGATTTCGGACCTGGACCATTAACATAGTGAAATAACCTTACTTCGAGTTGGATTCGGGGTGATTTTGTCGGAATTTCCTCTTTTGGCTGCCGGGCGAACGTTTTGGACACTTGTTCGATTGCTGGAGTGCATTTCCTTTCACCGGTCCGTGAAACTTTGGTGTTGTGTGCTCTTCACATTTTCAAATTTCCGTGCCGTGGTGGCAAAAATGGCGCGTCATTTGAGCATAAACCTTCACTAGCTGCACCACAGAATGGCGCGCCTGTTTTGAGTGGTTTCTCCTGGAATGTCGCTCTCTTGGGATGTTGATGAGCTCTGAGATGCGCCTGGACCGTTTTCTGCTTCACCAATTCTGAGACACCTCTTGCACCATGCTTGCCAAGGGTGAGTACTTGAAAATGATGCAAGTTATGCCCAGAGGTTATGGCGGTTTTGTGTACCTAACCTATGTTTGTAAACAGATATTGCCCAAACTTGCTGTTTGCTTCCTCTTCTTGTCTTTCGTTTTCGAAACCATTTCCTTGCTCGTTAATCTTAATATGTATTACTTCATGAGAATTTTTTAGCGCTATCTTAACTGCTGTCAGCAACTTCCTTTCTCAGATGTTTTGAATTTGGTCTCCTTCCCTCCTTTTCTTTGTGATCAACTTGTCTTTTTGCATTGACTTGTTTTAATAAGCACTGTGCCAAAATGTCATTGTGCTACTATGGTCATGAAAACTCACTGCTTTCTGGGCTGCATGTGCATATGTCGTCATTTTTATTTTAAATGCTTCAAAATTTTTGTTTGATTATTGTTTAATTTTTACTCTTTTTATGTTAGTGCTGCCATGTGTCTCACTAAATTTTGGTTCCTACTTTCGTTCTCCCTTGTAAATTGTTATTTCTGCATTGCAATATTTGTGAGTTCCTAATTGGTGCTTGTGTCTTCTTTCAGGAAATGCCCGCAGTGGCTCTCGAGCCATGGTGGAAACCATAGCTGTCACAGACGGTGAGCTGACAGCTCTGTCTGCTTTGTCTGGCCAGCAGCTGTTGACTGTTGATGGTGAAGTGTTGAGTCAGTCAGATTTATCTACAGCTGTTGAAGATGCAGTGTGCGTAACTGTGCCCAGTGAAGAGGCAATGGAGATTGATGGTGAAGAGCTTGTTGAATCAAGTGAAGTAGTTGAATCGACTATCATGCACGATTTGGGCACTACAGCATCATCACCTGTTGTAGTTTCAAGCAATAATCTTATACGTGGCACTCCTATATTAGTGAGTGCCACTGGCCAGTCATCTCCCTCCACATCCTATGTTGTCATCCAGTCATCTCCAGGAAATCGGGTTTTAACTACTAACACAGCAGCCATTGGCAAGAAAGGGGGACAAATTCCTCAAATTATTGGCAGAGTTAGCACTGCTGGTGCAAACTCTCAATTTCAGACGGTTGTAAGAACAATCCCCACCTCTGGACCTCCGCCACTGGTGACCCGAGGAGCAAATCTCAGTGTTGCTGGAATTCGTCCTTTAAACCCCCAAGCAGCAAACCAGAGAGGGGTGAGTTCAACATTAATATCTTGGCATTCTTAGTGTAGCTATTAAGTAGCCATTTCCTCAATGCTGTGTTCTCTGTGTTACAGCAAATTGTCACAAAGGTCTTATTGCCTCGCTCTGGTGGCTCTCAGCAAGTTGTGACATTGCCCATGCAAGATGGGAAAATTCTTGATCAGCAGCGATTTGTTGTTGGTGGACCTCAGGTCAGAGTTTTAAGCGGAGGAATGAAAATAGCCACCATTCCAAGTGTATCATCTGAAGCAAGAATAATAAAAAGTGAGGTGGACAAGCCTGCCACCATTCAAACAGCTACTAATGTGGTTGCCAGCAGCCCCCAAAATCGACCTATTAAGGTAATCCAAGCACGCCCTATGGGGGTTTTGACTCCAAATAAGATCCAACAGATCTTGCCATCATCACCAGGAGGAAAGGTTTGTTCATTAAAATTGTAAATTTATTGATCATGTTGTCTTGTTTTTCCTGTACTTTACTAAGTATTTATTTACTAACTTTTTTCACATTGTTTTCAAGGGCCTCATTGTCAATAAAGTGCTACCAGGAACAGGGACTAGAGTGACACTTGTGCCTCAAGGAGCAAAATCACCAGCAAAAATTCTTCCTGCTCCAACATCCCAACAAGGAAACCAGGCTTCTAGTCCTCAGAAAGTTATTATTAGACAGGTTCGTTCAAGTTCACATAATGCAGTGGTGGCTCTTTCATAATTTTCTCTTTCACCAATGGCATCTTGTTTGTGTCCTGTAGGCTCCCATAAAACCTGGTTCCGGTACACCTGGTCTGAGAATACCCACCTCCAGCCAGCCAGCACTGGCCAATGCATCAGGCATACAGACTGTTCAAGTTGCTGGGCGGCAGGTATGTGTGTCAGAAAATTTAAGTGTTCTATTATTTCCCATTTGTTTTCTTTAAGATTCATGTCTTGATTTCAGATGCAGTATGTTCGACTTGTGAGTATTGCATCCTCATCTGATTCAACGGCCACTATTACAAATACTGCAGTTTCCAAAGGCAACACAGTATTGACCCTTGCCTCAGGCTCTGGTACCCAGCAGCCAAGCAGCATCAAGATGATTCCTGTTGGTTCGAGCACTCCCAAAACAGTATGTGTCAACAAAGAATTTTGATTAAACCTTTTTCACTTTTTATTTTAAAAATCACACTGAAACCATATATTTTTCAGGTCTTTGCAAAGAGCCTTACTGGTCAAAAGATAATGATACCAGCTTCATTGGCTATGACTCAAATAAAAACCTCAGTGCCCAGTAGTGTGATGTCAATTGTAAATTCTACCGTCACCAACACTACTGCCAGCACTAGCAACATTGTGATGATTCCATCTACGGCAGTTAACCAAGGAAAAATGGTACAGCTTAACGACTTCTTATTGTTCTGGGGAATCACATGCTTTTCATCTTACATATTTCTATGGTTTAATATCATTATTTTTTTAAACTGTTTTTAGAGTGGAAAAGGAGAAGATATTGATATGAAGCCTATACTGCTGTCAATGGATGACTCTAGCATTGAAGATGCTGATATATTGTGTCAACCGATCAAATTACCACCTCCACCTCCATCTGAGGGTACTCCAGCTCCAAGTACAAAACAAGCAAAAGCTGCTGTTCCAGAGCCCAATGGAATAAAACCTAGGAAACCCTGCAACTGTACCAAGTCACAATGCCTAAAGCTGTATGTTCAGTTTCAGTTGTAATTTTATATCTGGAGTGGCTTTGCTGTGGTTTGTTTATTCTGACTTTTTACCTTTTCACTTAACAGGTATTGTGACTGCTTTGCTAATGGCGAGTTCTGCTATCAGTGCAACTGTAATTGCTGTTCCAATAATTTGGAGCATGAAGAAGACAGACAGAGGGCAATTCGGTCTTGTCTGGAGAGAAATCCTAATGCTTTCAGACCGAAAATTGGTAAAGGAATGGTTGGTGATGGAAGACGGCATACCAAAGGATGTAATTGCAAACGCTCTGGATGTCTCAAAAACTACTGTGAATGTTATGAGGTAATATAAACAACAAAAAACAAGGAAACCTTCATGAGTTTTTAGTTTTTAATTATTATCATTGATACAACTTGGAATTATTTTTCTCAGGCAAAAATTGCTTGCTCCAATAACTGCAAATGTGTAGGGTGTAGAAATATAGAAGATGACATTGATCGTCGCAGTTTGCGAGAATTAATAGAGGTTGCTGAACTAGAAAGTCCTATTTTAACACCAGCAGGACTAAAAAAGAAAGTTAACACCCAAGTTATAGATATGCCAACAATAAAACAAGAAGATTTCCAAAGAAAAGGAAACAGGTATTGTACATTTCTGTGCTGAGTTAAAAAGTTACAAGTGTTTCAGTTTATCATTTCAATTTATCTTTTCCAGACGTTCGGACAGTATAATGTCAGACCATGTTGTCAGCGCCACGTGTCAATGTTTAATGGCACAAGCTGAACAAGCTGAAAGTTTGAAATTAGATGATGCTGAAGCAGAGAAGCTAATTATTGAAGAATTTGGACGTTGCCTTGTGGAGATTATCTCATGTGTTTCTAATAGGACAGAAGACACTTCATCGTCTATAAGTGAGCCATGTGAAAGTGTGTAAATTTGTTTGTTGCTTCCTTCAAGATTTTACTATGGTCGTCTGATCAGCATGTCTGCCTGAAAAGTTTTACTATGATTACCAGTTTATCTCTAAATCAATTCTCTGTTGTTAGTGCTGGCTCTTGTGATTTGTTGAATCTTGGCTAGCATTGTGCACTTACATAACTAGTTTTCATCCAATAGATGGAATTAATTAATCATTCATAAAACTGTAAACAGTTTTATTATTTTAGACATTTAGTGCAAAATGAATTTTTCACTGACCAATTTAATAATAATAAGAAATGGATATTGTGTTGCCCTTTATTTTTCAACGTAGATGTTCTTGATTTTCTGAATCTTTGCTGTTTAGTTAAGTATCATAGCATTGACCTAGTCATGGGATTTTAAGTGTCAGAGAAATTACCCCTATGCATGAGGGCTGAATATTTTGAGGGGAGTTGCTGTTCCATGATGGTAGCATCCTAAAATAAATGATATATTATATGTAAGAAACAATATGTATATCCATTTATTGTTTTAATCTGGTTTGTAACTTGTATTCATGAAACTATTTTTTTGCTAATTACGCAGTTGCACAGGGCAATGCAAGGGAAGCAGTTACATTGCCTTTGTTCTGTTAAAGTGCTTCTAGAAGCTGTTAGCCGTCCTTGACTATCTCTAACTGAAAGATCTTTCTTTGCAATGCTGTTCTCTAGCGTTATTTTTTGTTTCTTTTTTAAGGTTGTCAAATATTACGTGATCTTGCATTTATATATTGTATATAGTTTGAAACATTTTTCATATTGTGTAGAAATTTTAATTTTTTTCCCCTTGTTGAATACAGAGATGGATGATGGAACTTGTATAAAGTTTGTTACATGTTATTTAAATACATTGTATGTGTTTATTTTTCACTTTGTAGGACTGTATGTGTGTATTTTGTTTTTCATTTCTTTTATGAAAGGATTGCGAAAGTGCCAAAACCTTTTCTTTGAATTGCCACCATTGATGTTTTTAACATGAGACGAACACCTCCCCCTTTTTATTTTCTATAGTTTTCTACACTCAGTGATCTGTGAGATGACCTGCTTACAGAGTTTGTTTGTAGTTTGTGTGAAGAGATTGTTTATGCGACTTGGGATAGTTGTGACACCTGTACAAGAAGAAATAAAATTACCTAACTGAGCTCACTATGTCAGATTTGAAATTCAAATCAGCTCAGAAGATTTCTCTTGGATATTAATAAAGAAATGGAAAATAATTTCTACGTTTGTGAGTTTCACTGATCCACCTGCCGCCCCGCACCGACTTGACTTGATAAAGCTGGGATCACAAAAGATCCTCTGCTCGGGTCTGCAGTCCGTAGGCAGAGCGTGAAACGCGCCAAGTCCAAACGAGAGACTTGGCCCGGGGTTGGGGTTGCCGCTGGGCGCCGCCAGGCCGCAGCACTGTCGGCGTTTTCGCGGGACGGGACCAGGGACGGGGGCGACGGGCTGGTGGGGAGGCAGACAAACTCTGCGCTGCTCGCAGCGATCGATGTAGCTGCTCGTGACAGGCCTGCATCCACACCAGCGACAGTTTTAACCTCGGACTGTGCGGCTGGCCGACGGCGTCACCGTTCCGCCTCCAGCAGGCACACTGCGTGAAGGGTTTGGCATCGAGCGACCGCCGTCCCGAAGCAGAAGGGACTTCCTCTCCGCAGCGCGCCAGCCATTCCCAACTCCAGTGTAGGATCGGGTTCCTGGCCCGCGCATCCAACAAGGCCAGCGCAACCTCGGTGTGGTGAGTCCTCGCTCTCGCTCTGGCCCCTCGCACAGCCAAAGCATTCCCCGCCTGCCTCGCCTCGGACCGCGGACTGTCCGCATAGAGCCGCGACGACGAGCCCCTCCACCTCCACCAGCGCGTCGGACGCCCGTCCCGCCAAAACAGCAGTCGTGCCTTCGTCCTTCGCGCGCAGGGCGGGTGTCCTTCACACTCCGCACAACAAAGACAAGTGAAGTAAATGAAAACGGAGTCGGATTTGGCATCCGAATGGCCCGACCGGTTCCTGCGTTGGAATTATGGATTCGCGGGAGGCGAGTTTCGTTCGAGTCATTCCACCGACGATCTGCAACACTGTTGTGGAAGGACTTTGCCACTCTAGAAACGCTGGACAGAATCAATACCCTAACTTCAACTTTACCACTCGTCCTTAGACGGGGCGAGCGGTTTCCGTGTCGGTCCACTCCCAACGCAAATCACATCGCCTCCTTTTCACACAGTGTGTGTGTGTGTGGGGGGGGGGCCTCTTCTGGACCCACTAGGTCCGCGAGGACTGAAGCGCTCTGAAAGTGACTCGACTGCTTCGCACTGCTTGCAGGTCTCGGGCCTGTCGGGGTGCATGGAGTGTTCGGTGTGCCTGGAGGTCCCCGAGAAGCGCATCCCCCAGCGCCACCTGAACGCCACGTGCCGGCCGCGCCACATCTATGCCACGTTCGTGGGCGCCTGCTCGTGCGCCATCGTGTGGTGCGTGTGGTGCGCCCGCAAGGCGTCCGACTACCGCCTCAAGCAGGCCATCAACTCCCCGGCCGCGGCCGAGTCCGATGACGACCAGGTACAGTGTGGTTTCGTCGCGGAGCGTGACACAGTGGGCCAGAAGACCGGTGGAGGCGGCCAAACTTCTAGACGCGTTTTGAGCTCTAGAGTCGCTAAATGGGACTCGAACCGAGCGTGTGACCCCACCAATGGATTGCTCTCCGAACGAGGAATCCATTGGTGGGGCCACACACACGATTCATGTCCTGCTTAGCGACTCTGGAGCTCAAAACGCGTCTAGAGTTTTGGCCGCCTCCACCGGTCTTCTGGCCCCCTGTGCGTGAGGGAGTGCGAGAGGGACAGCGTGCGATGTGTGCACCCTGCTGCAGGTGGAGATGGTGCCGTGCCCGATGTGCCGCGCCGCCGTGCACCCCACGCGCTTCATCACGCACCCCAAGCCGCTGAGCCCCGCCGAGCGCGCGCGCCTGGTGCGCGAGTACAAGCCGCCGCCGTGCTGGTTCATCTGGGGCAGCAACGTGTGCCGCTTCGGCCGGCTGTGCCGCAACAGCCACGCCGGCATCGACGGCCGGCCCGTGCAGTGCGGCAAGCCGCTGTCCAAGGAGGAGTGGCTGGCCCGCCTGCCCGAGCCCTTCTACATGCCGCCCTCCTTCCTGGACCGCGATGGCCGCGCCTGGTACTACACGGAGCGCCACGGCTACGTGCACATCGTGGACCCCCACAGCCCCCAGGTAACGTAAAGGCAACGAGGCGGCGCGCCGCACAGTGGGCCAGAAGACCAGTGGAGGCGGCCAAAACCCTCGACGCGTTTTGAGCTCCAGAGTCGCTAAATAGGACTCGAACCGAACGTGTGACCCCACCAATGGATTCCTCGTTCGGAGAACACAATCCATTGGTAGGGTCACACGTTCGGTTCGGGCCCTTTTTAGCGACTCTGGAGCTCTGCACGCGTCTAGAGTTTTGGCCGCCTCCACCGGTCGTCTGGCCCACTGTGCGCCTTGGCTAGCGCCCGCCGATCTCGGGGTGGGCAACCCGGCCGCGCCCCTGTCGGCGTGCTGCCTACCCTCGAGTGCGCGGGCGGCGGGCGATTGCGAGAGACACCGGTGACGTGACTCGTGAATGTGTCCTCTGTGTTGCAGGTGTGGGAGAAGCTGGACACCGCGGCGCGCTTCTCCCCGATGTCCGACAAGCACCCGAGGGACTTGTTCGGCTTCGGCGGCGCCACCTCGGGCGCCGTGGCGTCCGGCGCCGACGTGGGCGGCGCGGTGCCGCGGGCACAGCACTCGCAGCACCAGCGGGACAACGAGACCTGGCGCTGGGTCACGTGACGGAAGCGGGACTGCGAGCCTACACTGGGGCCTCGGCTCCTCTGCCCCAGTGGCCCTAGGCTCTGCCCGAGTGGCCCGAGGGAATGCCCGGACTAGAAGCAAAACGGCCTGCGTGGTCCGAAGCTCGTTCCGACTCGTGCTTTCGTCGCTCTGCCTCTCCCGCGCCGTCACACGAGTGCGAGAGAGACAGAGCGACGAAGCCTTGTTTGGCATCAGCCCGCAGGCCAGAGGCATGCTGTTGGGTTGGAGCCATCGCCACGGTGTGACTACGGTGTGCCTTTATTTTCTGTCTCCAGCTGCTCCGGGGGAACCCGGTGAGAGTTGTCTAGTAAGAACTATTCCGACGTCTCAACCCACGACAAATGAGTGTCGTACAAACGCCCCGTAGATGTCCGTAAATACTAGATTAATTTGATAGGACGTGTGTAGGACGGAGCCGGAAACTGACTTATTGTGAAAGCCCTTGTGGAAAAACAGTACGCAAGCACAGCGGTAGGAGGGCATCTCTCTGCAGGCTCAAGGAGGCAATCCAGTGTAATCGTGATTTGCTCTTAAGTTGTTGAAGAAGTGCCCCACCACTTTGTACTTTATTTTTCAAGTAGACTGATTCAGAAAATTCTCCACATCTTTACCTTTGACATATTAGGTAGACTCGGGATTATTTGGATGGCTATGAATTTTATGCATTTGTTGTCTACCATTCTCTTTCCATATGTTAGAAAGTCTGCTGGAGTAGCTCATTACACAACCAAGGAGATAGATTCAAGTATTTTCATTGAATTTTATTTAATATGTTGTAAGTGCTTTATTTAGATATGGGTGAGAGGAGAATGCATGATAGTTCAGTATTTTGTAATTTTATTTTATGGCAGAAAATATGACTGATCTTAAAAATATTCAAATACAAAAAGCACTCTGTTGTCTTGTCAAGTCTGAGTCAACATTAGCAATGAGTTGACAAATTATATTCTTGCCTAACATAGCTTAGGCTAAAATGAATAAAGAGAGATAAATCTCAACATTATCTGGCTTTGAATGACATATTGTATAAGTAGGAAATGGTTGAAAATGGAACACCAACTTCTTTGCACCTTCGTCCTTTATTTAAATCCAAAACACAGAGATTACAAGGACCTCTGAATAGTGTCAAATGAAGAAAAAAAAAGGCAAAACAATAAAAAAAATTCCAATTCTTATGATTTTAAATCCATTAAAATCAAACAGTCATTAAGGGGCGATTCAAATTCAACTTCGTTTGCAGGGCACATCACGGATGAAAGGGGTCAAACCTTTTTCATTACAGGGAACAATGGGTAGACGGGTCAGTACCTGTTTCTGAAAACAACTGAAACGGCTATGACACACTACACATATTTGATGTATCAGATCCTTTATTAGTCGGAGGAAGTTGCCTTAATTTTCGCCCGACCAACTTTGGCTTGAGGCACATTATTTCCACATCTGGAGATGTGGGAAGTAACTTTCTTTCATCATCAATTGGAATACTATTTTGTACATTAGTTACATTATCACAGACGTCAGTGGGACTTGAAACAGGCATGTCAGTGGCACTAGCACAAGAAAAAGTTGCTGCTTCCACACAGCCACTAGCTTTATTTTCAATACTTTTTATTACTAGTTCTATTCCTACTTGAGATTCAGCTTTCGAAACTTCTTCTTCCCTTTGGAGGATGGGGCTGTCAGCGATGCCTTCATCACCAGTTTCGATTTGTTCAGGTACAGTTTCATCACCATTCATCATGATTTCCACCACAGAACCAATGATTGGCGATGCCTAGTGATAAAAATACAAAACAAATTACTCTCAATTTTTTTTTCCAAATTATGTATTAAGTAAAATTCCACAGTTGAATCAAGCACCTGACGGTCGTTCAAACAGGCAGGGTGGTACAGCTTCTCCTCAAACAAAACACAGTCCTTTAGGTGCCACTCATCCTGATCTTCGTTAAAAAAATCATCAAACATATCACCACACATTTCACAAACTGTCCCTTGAGGGAAACCATGTGAGGGGACGCTGACAATCTCTGTTGGACTGTTGTCAAGCTCTAGAATAAAATGGTAAATAATAGAATATGTCACACAGTGCACAGCACCTTGGCAAAGTTCACAAAAGTTTCATACCTTTGCTAGTTGGACAATCCTCTATGTCCATAGTATCACTATGACCCTCAGACTGAACCCAACTCTGCTTCTCGCAGTACCAAGGTCTGGAAAGAGGAGTGTTTCTGACATTGTGATTTTTTTTGAAGTGCCAGTCCAAATGTTGCCTGTATGTGTCTGTCAACTCTGGAGGGAACCTGACACCACATGAGTTGCACTGAATACCCGAGTAGAGTATTTCAATCATGCCAGGCTGCTTCCTAGGAATGAAATATACTTTGTAAAAATAACAACTTATTTATTTCTTTAGGTCAAAATGGTTGCATTCTAATAAGGTCATACCTTTTTAGTGATGATAAGTCTTCAAAATTAACAATGTGAACTTCTACATCAGAGGATTGAACTTTCTCAGGGTCATTATTAAGTTGGCTCCTTGGTATCAAGAGACCAACATCACAAAGGCTTTGGAAGAGACTATGAATGTTAGTGTTTGGGTAATAGGCTGGAGGATCATTGCCTGAAAAGGGTAAAAAAAATCAAGCTTAGAAATTTTTAGCTGTCACTGAAGTGAAACATAATTGAATAAGTAAAAGGGGAATATTACAAACCAGGTAGATTAGACTTGTTTGATTCTCCAGATCTTGTGCTTGGTAGGGAACTAGTTTTGCGCTTTTTAGACCTATCACAGTTTCTTAATTTTGGTCTTCTTTTTTCTCTCTCTACAATGAAAACAACAAGGATGAGTAAAACTGCAATTGCTATCAAAATATCAAAAGTAAAAGCATACGAACCGAAAGAGTTGGATTCCATTGGTGAGACTTCAGGAGCATTAAAACTGAGCATGAATGGGTCATGACACAAACCTTGTGGAATAGTGTAAGGCCTGTTTCCTGTTTGAGCCATACTAGTAATGTTCACCTCTCCAGGAATGATATTACAAGGAAGGTGTGAAAGTTGAATGAGATGCTTTGCACCATTGACATTTAGCAGGAGAGGAGGCCCACCAAAATTTAAATCTACTGAGCAATCATTAATGAAGATGGTTTGAAGGGCATCAGCAAATTTCAAAACGTGTGGAACCCCATCAATGTCAAACCTGATAAAGGAAACAAAGACCATTTTATTGACTTTACTGACAAAGGAAAACACACTTTGAAATACTGACTAAACATACCTTTGGGGTTTGGCATGCAATAGAATGCGAATCTGAGTCAATGAGTCAATTGTAAGAATCACATGGCCTGCTACCAAGTCACGGCGAATGGAACCTAGCTGCACTAAGGGAGTAGCTTCTGAGAACAGCTGCACACTGAGAACTTCCCCAGAGGACAATTGTATTTGTTCTGGAGGAAAATTAAATTGGCATTGAAATGCTTCATCATTGACATAAAGTTCTCGTGTTGGTGCTCCAAAGTGAACCCTGAGGCAAAAAGGGCAAATGCAACTGTAAAATTTGCAGATTATTTTAGATGTAAATCTAGGTATTCAAGATGGAAAACTTACCGAAATATTTGATGTCCAATGTAAACTTTTGTTTCAGGTTGATCAAATGTGCTGCGAACAACGACCCCATTTATACTAAAAGAGGCTTCCCCTGGCCTAAACATTATTTCTCTGGGTATCGATTCACCAGAATCGATAACAGCAATTTCTCCATAAAATTGTACTTCTTTGGTTACATTGTCTACAAGAATAGTTTTCACAGTATCTTCGACAATTTTTCCTAGAACATAACTGCTTGCAGGAGGCAATGGAGGGGGAAGAATTGGCTGATGATTCACAAATTGATGACTGCTACTTGGCGGTTCCATTAACAACTTGTTCTCCGGACCATCTGTGTAAATAGGAGGCACATCCGTCAACAAAACCAACAAACAACAAACAAATGTGCCATCATATGATATTACATACATCCATGGTTATAATCTATTTCCTTTTGAAGTTTTATTTCCTGCTCCTTATTAGCAGTGGATTCCAAAATTAAAGCAGGAGAAATAGGCGTTGGAAGAAGTGGCTTTTTGTATCCTCTTGAATTGTGAGTTATGTTTTTCTTTTGACCAGGGGTACTGTTACAATAGAGCTCAGTCAATCAAATACTATCCATCAACACTAATAAAAAATTAAAAATATTGAAGACAATTATACTTACTTCAAAAAGTCAATTAGAGTTTTGGTTTGAGAGATGCAATCAGGCGGCACCTGTTTTTGTTCAGGCGATGTTGAGTGGCAAGGATTAAAATTGGACAAGGCCATGCATGGTTGGGGTGAAACACTGTTCCCCTTTGAAGAGAGAGCAGCTGATGTGCGGTTGGTTGCAGGGATCAGAGAGTCTGAATCATCACTACACATTGAATCTCTGCGTTCCTTTCCTTTGCACTGATTTATATCCTCATTTCTTCTCGGAGGAGAAGGTGTTGTCGAAGATTGGTTGCATTGGTCATCTTTTGACATAAACTTACATTCAGGTACTTTTTTGGAACAAATGTACTTGTACTTGTTTCTTTCATCTCTTTGTTTAAAATATTTATCATCATGACTCCTATTTTCAGACTTATTTCTAGGATACTTATGGCTACTTTTGTAAGACCTTCTTCTAAGATATCTCTCAGAATATCTCTCAGAATATCTTTCTGCCCTCCGAGATTCTTTGTTCTTTGGTGTTTCAATAGGATGCTTCTCAGTCTTTTGATTTTGTTTGGCTATCAGATCCGTGAGCAATTCCAAAAGTTCACCAGGTTTATCAAGAGATGGCGACACTGATGAGGTAGAAGACGGTTCAGGATATGTATCAACCTGTCAGACAGAGAATATCACTGATTGGAGGTATTTTTCACCGGATAAATCACAGCACCAAAAAGAGGAAGAGCACTTACTGTGGTTGAGTCCACTTGGCTCTCCAGGTCAATCGTGATGGGGGCTTCCGCACTTCCTTCAATCACCTCCTTACATAATGGGTTCTGTAAAGAGACAGTATCGGTAGCGAATTTGTTACAGGATAAGACCATTATCGCATCAGTCAATAGTCAATTTCAACCTCATTATTGGTTTCAGAGCCCTTTTCAACAAGCGCTCTCCTTTTTTCAAGTTCTCGCTGTTTCTTTTGAAGAAGTAACTGTTCGCGTAAAATTTCTGCCTCATCAATTTCATTATCAGGCTCCTGCACTGGATTAGTTTTAGCAGGCTCCTCTTGACTAGAATCTCTCCTTGGAATCTTCTAAAACCAAGAGACCAAATACATAGCACTTTTCTTAATGACACAGTTAATGAAGACAAGTAACTATGAAATTACCTGAGGCAAAAAATTGGGGTTTAGCAGTATTTTAATAGTAGTGTTCTTCAAAGTGTCAGAAGGCACTTCCCATTGCTGATCAAGAGTATGAACATGTACATCAAGTTTTGCCAAATCTGTTGGTGAAATAATTCCATTCCAAGTTTGTCTCAAAAAACCCATTAACTGCTGAGTAGATTTATCAACCTGGATCACAACAATATGTGGTAAGTTTTATTCAACTAAAATGAATTGCTTGACAGGAGAAGAGAGCCAATACCTACCTCTGCATAAATGTTAGCAAAGTTACTAACAAGAACAGGACTGAACAGGTCAATGTATTCCTTTCCCACATTTTTCATAATAGAGTCGATGAGGTACAGGATGGGGAGTTTTGTAAGACAAGAAGTCTAAACAAATATAAAATGAGTCATACAACTTAAAATGAAGAATACAATCTGGAAGCTTGCATATACCAACATGACATCCTGAGAAATTATGACTACTTTTGAAGGAGGTCTACCTTGATAAGTTGATCATGAACTGTTTGTACAATGGCCTCTGCTTGATATGAATTTTGTTGAGCAACCAGAGTTAAGAAATTAATGTGAGGCTTGCTGTTCACAGTTAGTTCTGCGAGGGAGCGTGAAAAGCTCTCCACAGCCGTCTTTGATTCCAATGACATTGCTCAGATTCCTGGAACAAAAATGAAACAATTGAACACATCATTTCTGAATATGATAAGAGAGGAGAGGAGAGAAAACCAAAACCAATCTGTCATACATGCCTTGGAAGCATAACCACATGTTCATGTAATATATTGAGTGAGACAGTTGAGAGTCAACTTATGATCCCTCGAAAAACAGTATCAGAAAAGAGAAAGAAGAGGAAAGAAAGCGAGGCAAATGCGATTTCATGTGAACTTTTCAAGGCAAAGTAAGCAAGGCACGCGTTCAGCCTATTCCAACCTTAGTGTCCACTCATTTTCTACCTCTGCTTTCCCCCGACGAGGCAGCGCAGCTACTCGCGGCGATGATTCGCTAATATGAAAAGCTCCAAACTGTTTTCGATTCCGATGAAGGGCTGACAATACAGGACGTTCATCGCAAGCAAGAACACGTCCATTCTCAGTCCGCACAAACCACAACAAACAGAAAAAGCCGGCAGGGCAACCGCGTTTCCAGTTTGCAGCCAGCTTCCCTGGCGCTCCTCATGTCAAACTATGAAAAATTTAGCTCGATGAAAGGAGAGTCGTCGAGGGAATTCCCGCTCAACCGCTGCGAGCAGGGAACGATCGGTATGGGCTTCGTGATAAACAGTTTCTAATTTCAAGCTCTTGAAACTAATTACCAAACTCGATTTACCCTTCAGCCACTGTTGGCTGTCCGGACAGCCTCGCGCAGGGGCTCCCGCGGGAAGTCACCTGGATATGGATTATCACGAGAGGGCGTAGCAGGGTAGGGGTGGGGGTGAGAAGGGTGGGGAGTCCAGAAACTGTTGTTATCGTCTGCATGACGGCCAGAAGTTTTTCCGAAACCCGCGATTCGTCGTAGGGCAGTTGCAACTTTGTTTCGTCGAGGTGCACTTTTGGTGCCGGAAAGCCAATGCAGTGCGATGAAGCCCGTTTCATCAAAAGGTATCGTTGGAATGGAGAGTTCATCGCCGAAAAATGACTTAGCATGTGTCAAGGTTATAGCTTTTATCCTTTGACAGCTCCCAAACAAGTTCTTTGAACCTGGATATTTTGTCTTTTTAATGTGATTTAAATTTCAATCTTCCCTTGTAATTGACTTATGTTGGAGACTCCTTCGTAGTTCATGTTATTTTACTGTTTGTCATTAATCAACGTTCTGTTCTGTTCCTCAGAAAAATCCGAGCTGGAGCGATTGATGTCCATCCCACTGAGACTGCGCTTGTGGTCAGTTACCAACTCGAAGCCTTCATCCTTGGAGAGCTTGGGGACCCCATGCTTGGAGATAAGAAGGTATCTTCAAAGTTTACATGTTGACCACACTATGGCCGTCTTCGGACACACATTTGTAGTCAATGAGCTTTTACTTCATCCCAATTTGCCAAATATTTTATTTTATGACAACAGGAATGCCAGAAGATTATACGCTTAAAGAGCTTAAATCCGGATACAGACTGTGCTGCTCTTGCTAAAGAGGTTGTAGAAAAATGCAGTCTTATTCATTCATCGAAAATTGCAGAAGTCGAACACCTTATCTATTACCTTCAAAATCGTAAAGAAAATCCATTTAATGGTAAGGAGTTAAAATTTCTTGCAGATGCTTTTACTTTATAAGATTTGTGCTCACGTTATTGCCATTTTACTATTTATAGATCGAGTTGAAAGTCCACTGCAGGGCTCAATATACTCAGGAACTGAGAGCCCCTCCTCCATAGAAATGATAGGTCTGTAACTTAAGTGTTCTTCTTTCCTGTTTCATTAATTTTTTAACAAGTGTGACAGCTTAAATATTATTTTAACATTTAGAAAATTTTTTAAGTGTTCATTGCTTTTCCAGGTAATGCTTCTGCTGAGAGAGCAACAATTGCTAATATAGAATCATATGTGGAATTATTGTATGAAGATATGGCAGAGAAAGTAAGAGGCTCAGGATTAATTCTGGAACTTGCAAAGGACCCCAATAATTTAGAAGACCTGGCTAAGAATGGTTAGTTATTCAAACACTTGTATTGCAGTACTAATTACCTAAATTACCTAAATAACATAATGGTTTTCTTTTTATCTTTATAGAGTCTTTACTGAGTGCTCTGTCAAGAGTTTTGCGAGAAGACTGGAGAAAAAGCATGGAATTGAGCACTAATATAGTTTATGTCTTCTTCTGTTTTTCTACTTTTTCTCAATTTCACTCTTTGGTTCTGCAGTACAAGGTGCAGTATATAGTTGAAAGAATATATGTGATATTATAGAGCAGTGTTTCACATTCTTTTTCCATCTTAGATTGGATCATTATGCATGGAAATAGTTGACTTTGAACTTAAACGGTACGAGCAATGGAAGGCTGACTTGGAAAGTTGCCGTGGGCAATATGAGCCAAATAATGGTATACCAAGATCCGAAGATTCAATCAAAAATAACATTCCACCCTCTCAAGTAGCTGAACACAGAAGGTAATTGTTTTGGCTCTCTTCTATTTCCCCCTTTTCATTTTCTCCTATCTTTTAATTTGTTTCATTTTTAAGGTCTGGTGCATTTGGACACAGTCACATTCCAGTAAGTCGGAGACACAATGACCCGTCGCCAAGTCCTAGTGGAGGAGATGAAGACAGTAAAAAGAAGCGGGTAAGTCGACTGACTATTTTTTCAGAGATCTGTATAAACTTATTTCATGAAATTAATCATTTCAAATTTTCAACAACAGCATAGCTTGCTAGCTCCTGGGGAGATACTAAAGCGACATGTGGAAGCAGCAACATCAAGTGGTGATGGAGGTAAAAGGAATAGCATGGTCAAATCTCCTTCCTATGGTATGGTTCGTTCTCCTTCGACAGACGATGGTAGGAGATCTGCCAATTCTATGAGTGTCAGCAGGTCAGTTACAGTTAGCAAATGATTTTTCTTTCCAATGGTCAAGTAATAGTTTAAACAGGTGTTTTTCATGGTTTGTAGGACAATGACTGACAGCTGTGGAAGTGTGGGCAGTATGGAAAATGAACCACGGAAAGACAGTGGAACGAAGCAGAGGGAGGAGTTTGACAAGACAGCCAGAAAGTTTCGCACTCTCATTAAGAAACAAGACCAGCTTCTCAGAGTCTGCATATATTTGCTCTTGAATATAGCAGAAAACCAACGTGTTGAAGATAAAATGCGCAAGAAAAATGTAGTGGGAGTTTTGACAAAAACTTTGGAGCGTACCACACCAGAGCTTTTAGTTCTTGCCGTGACTTTTCTTAAAAAGCTATCTCTTTTCAAAGAAAATAAAGATGTGATGGTAAGTCTTTAAGAAGTTTTTTTTGTTAAAAATGGAATCTCACTTATGTAAACAATTCATTGCTGTCTTGACTTTTCAGGCTGAACTTAATATAATTGACAAACTTCAAAGAGTGCTCCAGATGGGCAATGCAGAGCTTGATCATGTTACTTTAAAGCTCCTCTTCAACTTGTCATTTGATACTCGCCTGCGCGAACGTATGGTGCGGGCAGGATACTTACCTAAACTTGTTGGAATGCTATGTATGTGCACAGAATATTTTGTCGACATTTTATTTGCATTATTGTGTCTTGTAATTCATATAGATTATAAATTTTCTTTTTGTACAGCTGAAAAACAGCATCAATCAACAGTGCTGAAAATATTGTACAACCTGAGTATGGATGATAGGGTCAAATCTATGTTCACTTATACTGACTGTGTCAATGCAGTAAGTTAAGCTTCTACCTGAGAAAAACCTTCTCTCATGGTTTCTACTTCCTTAGAAAAATCCTTTTGAACTCATTCCTGTTTTTCCTTTGATTTTGATTGAAGGTTGTGGGAATGGCTTTGGAGCACGGCAAGGATCAAGTGGATCTTGTAGTTGTGGCCCTTGCTATTAATCTGGCACTTAACAAACGGAATGCCGAAATAATGGTGGAAGGAGGAAGATTGCAGCTTCTAATGGACCAAGCATTCAGAAATCTAGACTCTCTTTTAATGAAAGTTGTTCGAAACATTTCACAGCATGATTCTTGCAAATTGCTGTTTGTGGTAAGTAAATGGTCATCTGTGCCACATAAACGTTTCAACTTGCCAACTGCATTGAAAATTGATGAATTTTTTTTAGGAGTTCATTGGCGATTTGGCAAAAGTCTTAACCCAGTGCACTGATAAAGAGTTCCTTCTGGAGTGCTTGGGTGTCATGGCTAATTTGACTCTGCCTGATCTGGACTATTCTCAAGTGCTTCAGCAATTTCGCCTCATACCATGGCTACGAGCTCACCTTGTTCCTGGTATGTTTTGTTGTCAGTTAGTCTTCAATATCAGCAGCAATACCTTGCACAAATTTTACTTGAATTTTCCCCTTGTTATGTTTATAGGCAAGTCAGAAGATGATCTTGTGTTGGAAGTAGTCATGCTGCTAGGTACTGTAGCAGCTGATGAGAACTGTGCTTCAGTCCTTTGCAAAGCTGATCTCCTGCTCTCTCTCATCGAACTTTTGAAAGGTGACTTTAAATATATCTTATTATTTTGAAGTTTTTATGTGCGCCTTGTAAAAGGGGAATTTAATTTGATATTTCTATTTTCAGCCAAACAAGAAGATGATGAGATGGTGCTACAAATTGTTTTTGTTTTCTACCAAATGGCTCGCCACCACTTGACAAGAGAATACCTAATAAAGGAAACAGGTACAGTATTTATCTTTTTTGAAACCTATTTAAAACTTCATTTGTCCTTTCATCTCAATTTTCGCTTTCTTGAATTTTTCAGAGGCTCCTGCCTATCTAATAGATTTAATGCATGATAAAAACAGTGAAATCCGAAAGCTTTGTGATGCCTGTTTGGACGTGATAAAAGTATGTAACACAATTCTGTTTGATTCTATGACAGTTAAACTTGAGACAGATTTTGTAGAATGTAATGCTATGTTATTTTATTCCAGGAATGTAATGAGGATTGGGCGTCTCGAATAAAACTCGAAAAGTTTCGTTGGCATAATTCTCAATGGCTTGAAATGGTGGAGTCGCAAGCTCTTGACACATCTGGTTATGGGCAGCTGGGAGATGATGGCGATCCCTTACCTGCATTCCTGAGCAGTGACATGCTAACACATTCGTTGCTATTCCCTGCTGGTAAAGCCAATAATTGGTTTTAATGAGTCATCTTTATTCCATTTGAGACCAAAGCTCAAACACCCACATCTTGTGTTTCAGGTTCCCATGTGTCTCTGGATGACTTGGATGACATCGAAATTGTTTCTAACAATACTCTCTCAGATGGTGAAAGTCGCCCTGGCAGCAGGTAAAGGAGGACACTTTATTATAAAAATCTGTGAGCTTACTGTGATATGCACTACCAACTTTGTGAAATGTAAATTGCTTAATTTTAAGGGATGGTGCCTTAGATGAGTTCGGAAGTCCAAAGAAGAATCCTAAAGTCAACACAAATGGTACATTTAACAATATGATCATCACTACCGGTGATTAAATAGTTGAAGAAAACATTATTATGTTTCCACTAGTCACTTGTTTATCTAGTCGCTTTGTGTCCACCTGAATAATTCTTGAAACATTCCAATAATTTCACTATTGTTAGATGTAATGTTGCTTCAAACACACTACAGATCAATTGTGTGAAATTAAGCTTTGTGATCTAAGCTCAGTGCTGTTTTTTATGCATTATTATGAATTTTAAAACCATGTCTTTGCACTTTTGTAAATCAGGATCTATTCTAATTGTAAATTGAAAATTCAAATTGTTTATGACCTTACCAGTGGAAGGGATAGACTACTGTTGCAGCTACAGTCCTTTGCACATCAAGCTTCCATGGTATCTTATGTAATATAGGTTTTGTACAAGTTTTACAAGTGTCCTTTAATGTTTCAGTATTTCTAAAGCTTTAATTTATTTTTATGTCTTGTTGGCTGCAGTTGAGTTAGAGTGATGCACATTGTGAACTTTTTTAATTCGAATTAAATGTACTATGCTTTATTTGTGTAAACTTTCATTCTCCTTATTTCCATATTACATATACAAAGGAACATAAATAATTGCAACTTGAGTTGATAGGTCATGTTGTAGCCATTGACCTAAAAACAAGAAATAAAATACTCTTGCCTTATTTATTTGGTACTTTGCCAAGCATGGTCACAAGAAAATAATAACCACTACTTACTAGTTTGCTATCTTTGTAGCTCCATAAAACTAGAACAGTTTGGCAGTAACGAACTCTATTCCAAAGCGCTCCGCATATGAAACGTATACCACAATCTACGAAACGAATCCATCTGATACACTCAGATCCTGATCAGCGTTTTAGTGGATGTGGTTTTCAATGGGGATGAAAAGTTAAAATGAGGGGCAGACCTGGCATGGGCTCCAGCGCACTGCCCACATATCACACGAGAACTCTGAACAATATCACACGACCGCGCACCGCAGCCAACCAAAGTATGGCATCATAACCGTAGATTCGAATCCCAGAAGAAAGCTGAGATAATTTCTCGCTTCGCCACCGGGAAACTCACTCACACACACGCACACCCTTTATGGCAAGTTGGTGTCATTTGGCATTCCCCCCGTGGCCCGGCGCTCGTCCAGTCCTGTCGAGCGGCCGGCGGGGACAGGCGGGGACAGGCCTGGACCGGGCCTTGGACACGCGGACGGCACAGGCCACTCCACGCGTGAGATCTCGGCCGCATAAACACATCACAGTCAGGCAGAGGCAGCTCTGGTCTCTAGTCGAAGCACAGCACCGGGGGCCTCTCCCCTCAGCCGGCGGTGGTGACGCACAGCCCCGGGTAGGTGGGCGAGCAGGCGGCCGGGCAGGCCGAGCAGGCGGCGCCGGGGGTGTAGACGCGGCCGCCGGGCACGTTGCCGCTGGGGCCGTAGTTGCAGACCAGCACCTCGGTGAGCACGCCCACGGACGAGTACCGCGACCGGCCGCACCCCAGCAGCCACGTGTCGGCCCACGCCAGCTGCGTGAAGGCGGCCGTGGTGGGCGCGAACCTGGATGCAGCCACACGGGGAAAAACATGAGCAACGAGGCCTCTTGGACTGTCTCTCTCGCACTCGCACGGGGCGCTCCTTGAGTGCGAGAGAGACAGACTCGCAAAGGGAGCCAAAGGGACGTACGTGAAGGCCTCGACGAGCGAGGTGAGGTTGGCCTGCTGCCGCTCGTTGAACCAGCCCTCCACTCTGCCCTCGGGCGCGGGGAACAGCTGCGGGTCCTGGCTGTACCAGATGGCCATGCTCTGTCCGAGCCGGAAGGCGTCTGCAGCGCAACAACAACAACAATCAACAGCAATAGTGGCAACAAGGGCGGGAAAGGGGGAAGAGTGGGCAACATCAACCTCCCTCTGCAGCCCTCTGCACGTGCAATGCGTGAAAGAACAAACCGTACCAGTCTTGGCGCACTCGTCGTAGCCGAAGGAGCACTGGTCGGCCCACCGCTGGGCCAGACCGGCCACCTCGTCGCTCCAGGTCTGCGAACAAAGAGGGAAGCGGGGCTCAGTCGCTCTGTCTCGCTCGCACCCGCATGGACTGCCGCCGGAGTGCGAGAGAGAGAGAGAGAGAGAGAGAGAGAGAGAGAGAGAGAGAGAGAGAGAGAGAGAGAGAGAGAGAGAGGGGGGGGGCGCGGAATCGCTCCGCTGCTGAAGCGGGCAGCGCCCCGAGCGCCTGCGGACGAGAGGGTAGGCCACCCTGCGCAACTCCGGCGCGCGGCGGCACAGGCTATCCCGCGATCCGCAGGCGCTCCGCGCGGGAACTCTGAGAGGAAACGGGGGCTCACCATCTGCAGCATGGAGGCGGCGGCGGGCAGGCCGGGCACCACGCCGGACGCGATCTGCGACCGGTACACGTTGTGGCGGTGCAGGATGGCGCCCTTCTCGGCCTGCGACAGCGGCGCCGCCTGGTGGTTGATGCAGGCGGGGCCCGGGGCGGCGGGCCGCGGGCAGGCGGGGCTGGCGGCGGCGGCGGCCTCGCCGAGCCGGCTGCCGAGCGCCTCGCCCTCCAGGAACGGCGGCGACGACGGCTCGTCCAGCTTCAGGGCCTGCAGGGACAGCGGCGTGCCGGTGCCCACCTCCTGCGCCGAGAAATACGCTGAAAAAATCGGGGAAAAGTGGCCGCGGCTAGGAGTCGAACCCGGGCTCCACTCACGTTCGAGTCCTCGATGCGAGTGCAGAGGCCGGGGTAGCGGTCCGAGCAGCTGAAGGGGCACTTGGCGCAGGGCGGGCCCTCGCGGTACAGCGGGTTGCCGAAGATGTTGCCGCCGGGGCCGTAGTTGCAGACCAGGTACTCGGAGGGCAGCCCGTGCTCCGACATGTAGCGCGTGCGGCCGCACCCCACCAGGTACGTGTCGGCCCAGGCCAGCTGCGTGAAGTGCGACGTCGCCGGCGCGAACCTGAGAGCACCAGAATCATCACCGCGCTCGCCGCGCTCGAGCAAGCGGACCACAGTGGGCCAGAAGACCGGTGGAGGCGGCCAAAACCCCGGACGCGTTTTGAGCTCCAGAGTCGCCAAAGAGGACTCGAGCCGAGCGTGTGACCCCACCAATGGATTGCTCTTCGAAAGAGGAATCCATTGATGGGGTCACACGTTCGCTTCGAGGCCTGTTTAGCTACTCTGGAGCTCTGGAGTTTCGGCCGCCTCCATCGGCCTTCTGGCCCACTGTGCGGACCAACGTCCCACTCGGAAGCCAGGGCCGCCAGGGCACTCACGTGAAGGGCCCCGTGGTGTAGTTGTACAGCTTGAGCTCCTGGTACCAGTCCTCGACGCGCTCCGTGCTGGCGGGGAAGGTCCAGTCCAGGCTGAAGGTGAGGCCCAGGTTCTGCCCCTTGACCGCCCAGCGCGCTGCCGACAGTGACCGCGGTGACGCGGACGCGACGTTAGGCCGGTGGAGCCATGGCGGAGCCGACACGTTATGTCGAGTCGTAACGAGTGTAACGGGGCGGCCGTTAAAGGACAGCCGGAGGGAAAATAAAACAACACCCCGAGGGTGTTTTCCGACCGGAAACGGCCCGTCCGTTAAGGGACTCACACTTTGAGGAAAATAAACACAGGGCAGTTTCCCCCCTCCTGACGTCCAACGGCGTACTTTCGCCAACTTTGTGCCCACATCCACTTTTTTGATGTTTTTCTTTTCATTTTTGTTAGTTTTTTTTTTTTAGTTTGACTTTTGAATTAGTCGGCGGTACGTACCTGTGCTCCTGCAGGGGTCGTGGCCCCACTCGCACTTGTCAGCCCAGGTCTGCGCCAGGGCCTCCAGCTCCTCGTCCCAGTACTGCCAACACAACGCCGACTCGTTAGTGATAGGTCAGCGAGGGAGAGGAGAGGCCCTTCGGCCGTCGGACCGTCAAAGGGATCGACCGCGAACTCTGCTCTCTCTCTCTCTCTCTCTCTCTCTCTCTCTCTCTCTCTCTCTCTCTCTCTCTCTCTCTCTCACTCTCCCTCTCTCTCGCTCCACAGTCACAATGGGGCTGCATTGTCACGGTCGGCGGGCAAGCGGCTGAAAAAGCGGCTGAAAAAGCGGCGAGGGAAGCACCGTGTTTCCCCCGTTTTCCGTCCTCACCATTTGCTTCATGTCGGCCGCGGGCTTGAAGCCCGGCAGGTCCCCGGCCGCGATCGCGCTCCGCTTCACGTTGTGGAAGTCCAGCATGGTGGCGCGCTCGGCGGCCGACAGCGGCGCGGCGCGGTGTTGCTGGAAGAAGGGAACTTTGTAAGTTGTCGCAGTGTGGGCCGGGGGTGCGGGGGCGGCACCGTCCGGCGAGGCCAAGTCGGGGAACTGCGTCGCAGTGTTTGGAACTGCCAACTAGTTCGGGCGCCTCGCCGAGCCTCGCCGATTCAACGCGGCGTGTCGTGTCCACTGCCTCACCTTGCACGTCGGCCCCACGCTCTTCGGGATGGGGCAGCCGGGCTGGCCGAACTCGTCGGGGGACTCGGTGGACAGCACCGGGGTGGCCGTCGTGGACGGCAGGGCGCGCGCCGCGGGGGAGGCGGTGGACAGCGCCGTGGCGGGCCTTGGCGTGGTCGGGGCGGCGGGCCTGCGCGTCGTGGTGGGCTTGGTGGCGGGCCGGGTGGGCGGCCTGGTGGGCGGCCGGGTGGCCGGCCTGGCCGTGGTGGAGATGGGCCTGCTCGTGGTGGACAGCGCCCTGCCCGCGGTGGACGGCCGGACGGCGGTAGTGGGCCTGGGCGTGGCGGGCCTGGGCGTGGTGAAGAAGGGCCGGCTGGTGGTGGTCTTGGCCGCGGCGAACGGCTTGATGGGCGTGAAGGGCTTGAGCGTCGAGCCCCCGAACAGCGCCGGGGACACGGACGACGGCAGGATGCTGTTCTGTGTCACGTCGCCGAAGAAGCCTCGGAGTCCGATGGCTGGCGGGGCGGTGGGCGCCACCGTGGAGGGCGTCAGGCTGAGCGGCGCGGCGGCGGGCTCCAGGGAGAACTGCACCAACTGCAGTCAGCCAACTGACAATCAATTCCAACTCACGTCAAAGACGGCGGCCTTCTAAACTCGCAGCGTACCTGGCTGGCGCCCTGGCCGGCGCACAGGGCCGGGTAGGTCGGCGAGCAGGCGGTGCCGGGCTGGCAGGCGGAGCACGGCGCGCCCTGGCGGTACAGCGGCTCGGTCTCCACGTTGCCGGCGGGGCCGTAGTTGCAGACCAGCAGCTGGGTGGGCAGCCCGTTCTCCTCGTAGCGCGCGCGGCCGCAGCCCACCAGCCAGGTGTCGCCCCACACCACCTGCGTGAAGTGGCCCGTGGCGAACGAGAACCTGCAGGCAAGCAGGCAGTGACGTCAAGCCGGGTTCCTCGCGGTTTCCTCGATGGAATGCTGGGCGCCGTCTCTCTGTCTCTCTCGCACCCTTCCACCCGCCCCGCGAGTGCGAGAGAGACAGAGCGACATCCTCGGGAACGAGGCGCACAGTGGGCCAGAAGACCGGTGGAGGCGGCCCAAACTCTAGACGCGTTTTGAGCTCCAGAGTCGCTAAACAGGCCTCGAACCGAACGTGTGACCCCACCAATGGATTCCTCGTTCGGAGAGCAATCCATTGGTGGGGTCACACGTTCAGTTCGAATCCCATTTAGCGACTCTGCAGCGTAAAACGCGTCTAGAGTTTTGGCCGCCTCCACTGGTCTTCTGGCCCACTGTGCGGCGGCTGCGGTGGCGGCTACTCACGAGAACGGGCCCTCGGCGTACGCGTAGTCGCGGATCTCGTCGTACCAGGAGTGCACCCGGGACTCGATGGGCGGGAACTTGGCGGCCGACGAGAAGTAGATGGCCACGTTCTGGCCGACGGTGAAGCGGCCTGGCGGGAGGGCAAGCAGCGGTCAGACGGGGGTGTGGTCAAGATCAGGGCCGGCGTGGTCACGACCAGGGTCAGGGTCAGGGTCAGGTGGTTGTGATAAAAATGTCCATGAAGGCAGCGAATGGCAACAAAAATGATGAGGAATGTGACGATGAGGACGACGGCGGCGATGAAAATGATGGCGATGATGACGATGATAATGATGATGACGATGATGATAATGATGATGACGATGAAGATGACGTCGATGATGATGATGATGATGATGATTGCGGCCGGCACCAACCTGAGTCTCGGCACTGGTCGTGAGCGAACGAGCACTGGTCAGCCCAGCGTTGAGCAATCTGCTCCAGCTCGGCGTCCCACTCCTGCTCGCAAAATTAAGAAATTAAATTAAAAGCCTGGGCAACAAGACCGCGACGACACGACGTGCCGGTGGTGCCGGTCCGGACTCACCATCTGCCTCATGTTGGCGCCGCTGGGGAAGGGCGGCACCCCGCCGGACGCCATCTTGTTCCTGAGGAGGTTGTGGGCGTGCAGCACCGCGCCGCGCTCGGCGCCGTTGAGCGGCCAGGCGCGCCCGTCCTTGCACGTCGACGGCGGCCCGGCCTGCGGCATCCAGATCGACTTCGAGATCGAGTTCGAGATCCACATCGAGAGCAAGATGAAGCGAGGATGACCGCGGCCCGCTCCGCACAGCACCCACACCGGCCAAGCCAAATTCGATGATTGCCAATTTGGGCGCACGGAGCGCTGCGCTGCGGGGCGGGATGAATCCGGACAGTCGCTCTGTCTCTCTCGCACCCGTGCGGGCCGCCCTGCGAGTGCGAGAGAGACAGACCACTGTTCGGAATGAACCTGCCGCGCCCGGGGCCCGAGGGCCGCCAATCTGGCAGGGCTGCCACCACTACCACTACACTGCCACCGCGCCGCGCCGCGCCATTCGGTGGATTGGGCCGCGCGGGACTGGCGGGGCACTGGCGGGGCCGACCCGACCGCCGCCGCGGACCCGTCCCATCCCGTCCCGTCTCGCCGGCAGGATGAAAAATTAATCAGATTCGGAAATGCAAACCTGCAAAGCGGGTAAGGGTTGGCGGCAGACCGCTCCCTGGAGGGCTAACGGTCGGACGGACGGACGGACGGTCGGACAGACGCGAGAATAGTTTCCGTATGGAGGGACGGCTGGCCCGCCTGGCCCGCTGGGTCGGCCAGAACGAGGGTGTAATTGCCAGTCCGGAGTGCCGGGCTGCCGGACCTGCCCCAACGGTAGCGCCACTTCCGGCGGCCCGTCCGTCGCTCTGTCTCTCTCGCACTCGCGGGGCGTCCCGTATCGGTGCGAGAGAGACAGAGCGAGGATAACGACTCTCGGAATCAGTCCGCTGGCAAGGAGTGCGGAGCTGCGCGGGGCTCATCTGCCGCCGGATGGAGCGGCAGCGGCCCCGCTGGGCCCGGCCCTGCCAGGCCATGCCAGAAAGCAGAGCATTATACACGCCCGCCAATCGCAGAGGTGTCCGCCACACTGTGTGTTGGTTGGGGGAGGAGGGCAATGACAGTGGCGCCGCAAATTCGGGCGTTCCACTATTTCTGACTGTCGGCGGCGGGAGCGGTGGCCGCTCGGACCAACACGGCCAGCGGCGCCGAGACGTGACGAGGTTACCCCTCCCACCCCACTGTGAGACAAGGTGGAACAAGGTAAAAAGCAACGCGGGCTCGGCGACGTTCTGCGTTCTGCGACATCCATTTCCAACCCCGAGGGAAATATGCGGTGCAAATCCGGGAGTGGCCTGGCCGCCGGCCTGGCCGCCGGCCTGGCCGGGCAGGGCCGCGGGGGGCGGGCTGCCCTCACAGTGGACGGACTTTGCTTCGCCACAACACAAATCACTGGCACGTCGCAAATGTGTCGGTCTGTCCAAAGGGCAGCGGGGCCGGCGGGGCCGGCGGGGCTGTCGGGGGCGGAGCCATCCCTTTGAAGTCCGAATTTTTCATCAAGCAGGGAACAGCGCGACGCGGCGAGGCCCGCGGGGTTGAGGGGGGGGGGGGTTTCCTGTGCCATGTGCTGCTGCAACATTGTGTGTGTCGCCTGGACGGCCCGTACCGGCCGAGGCGAAGCCGTGCCCCGCGCGGCCCCGCGTGTTCGGGAGGCCGTGTCCGAGGCCGTGTCCGAGGCCGTGTCCGAGGCCGCGCCCCGAACGAGCCCCTTTCTATGCGCGCGCCCCCATTCTACGGCTGGATAGAGGAGGGATAGAGATAGACAAGGGCCGGGGCGAACTTCCCCGGGGCTGGCTTAGCGGCTCCCATGACCACCCTCGTCCCCGACCTCGTCGGACCTCGGCCCGCGTTCTGGCCGCTCTCGCCGCCCGAGGCGTTGACCCACGCGGCGGTGGCGTGAGGCTGGCGTGCGCCCACCCGGACTACTGCTCTAGCACCGCGCGAGAAAAGGGCTGCCAAAACGGATCAAGAGTATTTCAAAGGAGCCAGCGACGTGCATGCCTTTAACTTGTCGAAAAAGAGTGTGAAATAAAACTGATTGGGTCGTGTTTTGTGCGCAGTGTAGTGAACATGTTCACAGAGGAGTCCAGTTGTGTAGATTCGGCCGGCCTGGCGGGCTCGTTGTAATTAACCCAGAGAGAGAACACCACGCGAACCGACCGAATGACAATCCGGCATGCCCACCAGCAGCCCGCCCCGCCCCGCCCCGCCCCGCCCCGCCCCGCCCCGCCGCGCTCCGCCCCGCCCCGCCCCGCCCCTCTGCGGCTCTTTTTCGCAGACCGCGCGTGCCTTTTGTCGAAACTTTCCGTCCTTTCACCCTCCCGCACCGCCATCCCCATTCCATCCCCGGACAGGGAAACTCCGGCGAAAATCCGCTGCTGCGAACAAGTTGCCGGCTTGCCTGCTTTCGCGACGTGTCCCCGTCATTTCGGCGAGCCCGCCCCGCCCCCGCCCCGCCCCGACATGTCCCCCGTCCCTTTTGTTGATACCGTCGTTATCTGGCTGGCGGCGTCGTCGGCGTCCTGGTGTCGTTCGGGCACGTCGTCGGGCCGCGTCCGAAGCGCGCGATCGGCCCGGCCTGCAGGGCCTGCACCACGGCGACGGCCTAGTTCCGGTGCCCACCGATCCGGAGGCCCTCAGCCTCCCCTCGGCCTTCCCTCGACCCCTGCACTGCGAGGGCACTGCCTGCCGGGGCACGCCGGGGCGCGCTCCATGCCTTCGAACTAACGAACCTCTTAGAACATAGGGGCGCCCCGGCGGCCGGGCCGGGCCGGGCCGGGCTGAGCTGGGGACGGGGATCGCGTCGACGGAGCGCTCCACCCTTGTCGTAGGCCGGGCCGGCCGAGCGGTGTCGGAATTTAGATTGATCGAGAAAAAAATGATAAGGAAAGAAAGCCAGAAAAGAAAAGGGAGCGATCAACCCGGAGGAGGGAGAGGAAGTCGAACCCGAGTCTTTTGGGTCCCACCGCGAGTACTTACGCTGACCACTGGTCCACGCACAAATGCGAGAAAAGCTCCCTCGGTTTCGGTGGCCATTCCCTATACGCGTCCCATCATGTCAAGGAGAGCCTCTCTCGAAAAATGAGATGGCCGTACCGATATGTGTTCGATTACATAATGATGGCAATCCACGTCTCTAATGAGTCGGGCCGTCTGCCCTGTCTGCCGCGCCCGCCGCGCCCGCCGTGCCCGCAGACACTGACGTCAGGCCGTCTCGAGGGCGTAGGGCGCAGGGCCAGGACCGCAAGCCAAGTTAAGCACCAACATTAAAAACATACAATGTTCTGAAATTTTGAGTGGGTTCCACGCCTTGTCTCCTTCATCCGCACTTGACAAAATTTTCAAATATCGAAAGTTATTTTTCGTCGTTGCTTTTGAATTTTTAAACGTGTGGCATGGCGTCGCTCTGCGCCGCAGCTGCATCCGCCGCCCGCCCACTTTCTCCCTTATCAGCTCGGCGGACGCTGCAGCCTGCAGTGGCGGCGCTGCAGTGGCGGTTCTGCAGTGGCGCTGCACGTGGGCCCGAGCCATTGCGTCCCATTCCGTTCCGCGGGAGAAACGGCGGGGAACGACTGGAATGAGCGAAGAGTCGTACTCCCCCCCCCCCGACTCGCGGAACTGGCGGCGCCGCGTCATGCCGGCCGTGCCGGTCCTGTCGGAAGTGATTCCCCGAGAGTGATTTCGCGAGGACGGCTCGACACTGGCGGCTACGCATGCAGTGGGTGTGGGCTTCGGCTCAATTGTTTCTGGCGAGCAAGGACTACTCATCACGGCGCCACTCGTTTGGACCTTAGACACCTGCCCGTGGCCCCACTCTTCGGCCAGCCGAGACACCCACCCACGGCGATCCAATTTACTCCTTACAGCTCAGCAAGCAAAGAACCCCTCCTTGCCTCTCTCCTCAAAGAACGTGCAGTTCGCACTGCCAGGCACTGTAAAGAAAAATGAGCGAGCGAAGATGGACATGCTTACCGAGTACTGGCACAGTGTGTGCGCGGCGCCGCTGCGGCAGGCGATGGAGCAGTACGGGTTCTTGGTGTTCTTGGTGGCTCCGGCCTTGAACGGCGACTGCGCCGGCTCCGGTTCGGGTCTCACGGGGCTGAGGGCCACCACCAGCAGGATGGTAGCGACCACGCTCACTCCCCGGGCACCTGCGGGAAGGGGAAGGCTGAGGGTTCAAATACCGGCAGGGCTGTTATTTTTTTTTTCGCGGAAAGTGCGGTGAGGCCAAGTGGCGGCCGCTTGACCGCGCCGGAACGGCCGAGCGCCGCGAGCGGCCCTGCTGGACGACAAAGCCCCGGAATTAAACTTGGGAACCGGCCGGAGTCTGCAGAACCACGGCGGCGCCGCGGCCGATATTGCGGGGTGTAGCGTGCAGCCCGAGAGCCCGGCAGGCTAAACGGCCGCGCTCCGTCCCTCTCGCACTCGCGGAGCGCGCCGCCCGGGCGCGAGAGAGACAGAAGCGCCGTCTCGGACCGAGGCCGAAGCTGCAGCCGACGTGGGACGTAGCGCCGCGCGAGCGACGCGGCCAAGTTTCGGCCTGCCTCCTCAGCCTGCCTCGGCCTGGTTGTTGTTCGCGGACCCCATTACACCCAGCCAACTCCAAGTCCAATCAAGGATGCTGGTTTGAATATTTGGCGCCAAAGTTTCCGGAGCAGTATCGCCACCCTTCCGGTCTATTTGTGCCCCATGGGCCACATGATTGGCTCCACCATGGCGTCGCACTCCACTTGGCGGGGCTAGCAGCGCCCCCAGCTCGGCCTAGCACGCCGCAGCTCACAGGTGATTCGCCTCCAGCCGCAAGGAGTGCTTTCGACTTTTGGCGCGCTTCTGACAAAACGCGCGATATTCGCACGCCGCCGGTTTGGTGCGTTTTTGGCGAAACGCGCGTTATGTGCACGCCGCCGCTTTGGTGCACTTTCGGCGAAACGCGCGTAATTTATGCAACGCCGGTTTAGCGCATTTTCGGCGAAACGCGCGTTATTCGCACGAGACCGCTTTGGCGCGCTTACGGCGAAACGCGAGTTATTCGCACGACGCCGCCGCGAGAGCACGCGCTCCGAATAAAACGGGAAAGGGAGCGGGGGAGGCTGCTGGATGCGCGCGTTACTGGCAGATGAAAAGGTTACTGCCTCCGCGTGGCGTGGCGCCGCGGACACAAAAATTCTTATGGGGGCTCCAACTTGGCTGCCATTCCTATCTTCGATTCCGGTGCGTTCGGCGAGGGATGGCGTGGCCGGGGGGTGGCGTGGCGGGGCCGGGCGCGCCGTGGCGGGGTGGGGCGGAGGTGACGACTGCAGTAAACCTGAACGGGAAGCAGGGCCGCCATAATGAAGCTGCAAGTTTGCAAAGTTGTCCTGCTTCCCCTGCTTCTCCAAGGGAGGCAGGGCGGCAGCGCGGCAATTGCTGCTCGTGAATAGCCCCTGGGAAAAGTTGGGAATGGCCCGACCATTTTATAGATTTAATTGTTTTCCGCTTCGTTTTACGCATAGCGCGGTTCAGTTTATGCAAGTGCAGGGCGGCGGGCTTGCCGGGAACGGACTGTTACTTTACTTATCGCGACTTTCTTCCCCGAGTTTGCCGTCGAGGTGTCCTCTCGTCTACTCGGCGGCAGTGGACCGCTCGACACGTGCGCTTGAGCTCGAAGCCCCGTGGACAGCGGCCCCATCCGAATAACTGAGTCTCTCTGCCGCCCCGCCCCGGCCCGGCCGGGCCATGAGGGATGTGTTCCTATTGACCCTCGTCACGGAGTCCTTGCCCGCCGCGTCTCGGCCACGATGGACAGTCCAACACACGACCAGAACGGGCGCCTTCGCCTTCTTCCCACAGCCTGCCGTAACTCGGAAAGAAAAGGAAATCAGGAGGACGAAGCTCCCCCAGCGAGCGTAGCGGGGACGGAGCTCCCCCAGCGAGCGTAGCGGGGACGGAGCTCCCCCAGCGAGCGTAGCGGGGACGGAGCCCCCCAGCGAGCGTAGCGGGGACGGAGCTCCCCCAGCGAGCGTAGCGGGGACGGAGCTCCCCCAGCGAGCGTAGCGGTAGCGGGGACGAAGCTCCCCCAGCGAGCGTAGCGAATCATCCCGCCCGTTCTGTTTCGGCAGCGCTCCTCGTTCGCACCTGATCGAAACGAGATCGAGAGGCTGCTAGATTTATCTCGCCGTGAGGCGCGAGACGTGTGAACAGGCTGTCACTTACGGAGTGTGGAGGGGCGGACGAGCGAGTCGGCAAACACACAGCACTGCACAATGGACAAATCCAACCGACGCACCGGCACCAGCGGCACGTGGCTCTCTGTGTGTGTGAGTGTGAGTGTGTGTGTGTGTGTGTGTGTGTGTGCGCGCAGTGCGCATCTCGGCGATCACGCGACTGGAATGCATGCCTCGCCGGTAAACGAAGGTAAATGCAGGTAAATGAAGGTTAATTAAGGTAAACAAAGACAGTGAAGGTGTCGGGTCCGCGGACCACAACCGACCACACGCACGCGACGCCCGCACTGCGCTGCTGCTGCGCTTCGAGAGCTAACAGTGTCGCGCACCGCGGGCACACGCGACGAGCCGTCTCTCTCGCACTCATGGGACGTCTCGCGTCGGCGCAAGAGAGACAGAGCGCGCGTGCACGCGCTGCTTGGCCGTCTGCGAGTTTTTGCCATTATCGCATCAAACACGTTTGGTTATTCCTTTCCTTTCCGCGGTGCATTCCGGGATCTCGTTGCCGCGTTGCCGCGGTCGCCGTGTTTTCGTTGCGACCGGGTCATAATTTACGCGCCAACGAGAGGCAGAGAGAGGAGAGAGAGAGAGGGAGAGAGGGAGAGGGAGAGAGAGAGAGAGAGAGAGAGAGAGAGAGAGAGAGAGAGAGAGAGAGAGAGAGAAGAGAGAGAGAGAGAGAGAGAGAGAGACCGGCCGAACATGGGACCGTTGTTGGCTGCGTGCGGAAGCTGTCATGGTATGGCCACGGCGCAACCAAAGTGCTCGCTATGGTACGCTGCGAGGACTACGCCTGGTGGTTTCTGACATTGGTGACAGCAAATTTCCGACATGGTCATAACAAGTAACAAGGGATCATAGCAATTGCTCATTGCTTGCCGAGGTGACACTGGTGACCATGTTGACAAAAGTGATCATGGTTACCGAGGTAAGCAAATTTGCTCGTTGCCAAATGCAAGCGCCCATGGTGGCCGCGGCAGTGCCGTGGCAGTGCGGTGGTGCCCTCGTAAACTCGGCCGCCGACTTCCGCGGTTGGTACTCACCCATGACTGTGGAGAGGCGGCGGCGGCGACTGGTTCCACAGGACGTGCGGCTACTCCTCGGCCTTCCCGGTGTGTGTCTGCCAGACTCTGCCTCGCCGTCGCCAACCTGCCTCGCGAACCTGACTTGGCGCGCACCTAGCCCCCCCGCACCTCTGTGCCCCCCGTGCCCCCCGTGTCCCCCGTGTCCCCCGCCAGGCTGCCGGCGGGCACCCCGCCCCGCCCCCTCCGCCAAAAGTGAGGCTGGAGTCGGGCTGCGGCGAGGAGAAATATGAGAAATTGCAATGCCGATGAGTGTCGGCGCGGGATCGCTGCAAACAGCGATTCCGTCGCGAGGACGTCGCTCTGTCCCTCTCGCGCCCCTGCTCAACGCCCCGCGAGTGGGACAGAGGCAGAGCGGCCAGACGAGCACGGAGACACCTTCCTTGGAGGACGGCGGGCCGGCCCTCCCCGCGCCGAGAGCGCCGAAAGGGGAAGGGCTTGTCGATGACGCCAACACGTCGTCAGGACCAAGATTATCCCTTGGCAGGACAGGGTCCCCACAATCCCCTGTCCGCCCCGCCCCGCCCACCGCAACGAGAATGAATGGCCAGCAGGGCTACTACAGATAGTACTCGTATATATTTTCGCGCCGTCTGTTTATGTGTATTTATGGCCAGTGTGTTTACGCCGCTGTGTGTGTGAGAGAGGTTGGGTCCGCGGGGCCAACCTGATCGTGGACAGGGTCTGGGTCTCGGTCACCAACCCGACTCGGGCCGTGCTTCGCGCTCCAGGCAAGCCGAAGAGGAAGGGGGACTCGGAGTCGGAGGGGGAGGAGGGGGAAGAGGCGAGAGGAAACGCCAGTCATACGGTGTCGCCCTAATTAAATCTCACAGCCAGTGACTTCCGAAGCGCCGGGGCGGGGCGGCCGCGATCATCTTGAGGCGGGGCGGGGCGGGGGCAGGGTTACCTGCGCTTCAATCTGGGCCGCTCGGTCCGCATTGTGCCCCTGTCTGGCTCACGTGTGCGGCACGGCACGGCGCGACGCTCTCTGGAATGGGATGGCGCGGGGCGCTGCGCGGCGCGGCGTGGTGGCGGCGTAACCGCAGCCGCAACCCGCAGCAGTACACACGACGTTTACACTTTGACGAGCGCCGGAGCGACTGGCTGGCTGGCTTGTTTGACTTTTCTTTTCGACAGAGTGAGATTGGATGCCATGGCGCGGCGGCGGTGGCGACGGCGTGACGTCATCGACAATCCGCCATAACGCACTACTACACCTTGGCGCGCGTTGGCGCGCGTTGCCAGGTTTGATGGGCGGCATGCCACGGCACCATTGGGACGGGACCATTGGGACGGGATGCCGCCAAGCGCTGGGCCGGGCCCGTTCCATTAGACGCGGCCGCAGAGCGCAGCGCAGCCACCAACGACCCACGACCAATGACCAATGACCAACTACCAATGACCAATGATCAATGTGGATGGGCGTGTTCCACAACTGTGGTCGACGCGAGCGCGCGAGCGGCTTCACTGGACTGAAACAACATCTCTGCTTGCAAGACTAATATTATATACACGCAGCGTTTAAATAATAAAATTGGACTTTATGTACACGCAGCGTGCACATAACAGAAAAAAATTATTGACACGCAGGATTTTTTCCCGCAGACGTCCACCGAAGGTGGCCATGTAGGACAAAATGTTCCTGCGTGCGAATAATATTTTGGCTTTTATTTAAACGCTGCGTGTCTCCAAGGCACCAAAAAATTATTGGCACGCAGGATTGTAAAAAGTCTTCCGACCGGCGACTGAGTCCGGCATGGCGGCTTGGTGGGTGAGTGGGTCCGTGCTTGCACGTGAATTTTTTGGCCCGGGTTCGAGACTTGCCTTCTTCTCAAAAAATTTCTGCGTGTTAATAATGAAAACCGGTGTTGTTTCAACGCTGCGTGTTTATAATAAATTCACATGTTATTTACACGCAGCGTGTCTGCAAGGCCCAGTTTTATTATTCACACGCAGGAAAAGTTTTGCTGCGTGCAAATAATATTTTGGCTTTTATTTAAACGCTGCGTGTCTCTAAGACACCAAAAAATTATTGGCACGCAGGATTGTAAAAAGTCTTCCGACCGGCGACTGAGTCCGGCATGGCGGCTTGGTAGATGAGTGGGTCCGTGCTTGTACGGGAAATTTTTGGCCCGGGTTCGAGACTTCGCCTTTTTCTCAAAAAATTTCTGCGTGTAAATAATAAAACTGGGTCTTGCAGACACGCTGCGTGTAAATTACATGTGAATTTATTATAAACACGCAGCGTTGAAACAACACCGGTTTTCATTATTAACACGCAGAAATTTTTTGAGAAGAAGGCAAGTCTCGAACCCGGGCCAAAAATTCCCGTGCAAGCACGGACCCACTCACCCACCAAGCCGCTATGCCGGACTCAGTCGCCGGTCGGAAGACTTTTTACAACCCTGCGTGCCAATAATTTTTTGGTGCCTTGGAGACACGCAGCGTTTAAATAAAAGCCAAAATATTATTTGCACGCAGCAAAACTTTTCCCGCGTGTAAATAATAAAACTGGGCCTTGCAGACACGCTGCGTGTAAATAACATGTGAATTTATTATAAACACGCAGCGTTGAAACAACACCGGTTTTCATTATTAACACGCAGAAATTTTTTGAGAAGAAGGCAAGTCTCGAACCCGGGCCAAAAAATTCCCGTGCAAGCACGGACCCACTCACCCACCAAGCCGCCATGCCGGACTCAGTCGCCGGTCGGAAGACTTTTTACAACCCTGCGTGCCAATAATTTTTTGGTGCCTTGGAGACACGCAGCGTTTAAATAAAAGCCAAAATATTATTTACACGCAGCAAAACTTTTCCTGCGTGTGAATAATGAAACTCGGCCTTGGAGACACGCTGCGTGAAAATAAGATGTATATATATTATATACACGCTGCGTGTATATAAGACCCATTTTTATTATTTAAACGCTGCGTGTCTATAATGACTCCGCTGCTTGCAAACTATGACCCGGCGGCAAGTCGTGGCTGTCTGGCTGTCGGTCGCCATTGGCGATTCATGAGCTCATTCATGGGCGTTAGTTTGGAAAGGAGGAGCGATCGCGCCGCGCCCCGCCATCGAGGCTCATGTCGAATTAATGCCCGCGAACAAATGACCACGTTCTGCCGCACAGTGAGTGCCCGTCGACCTGTTGGGCCAGACGCTTCGATTCGACACGTTCGATATCTCGGTCAAAATGACTCGACTGGCGGGCATGATGGCTCCGACGGACTCGTCGCTCGAATGGCAAAACCGACCATCGTTTGATGCGGGTCCGATTTAAGTTAAGGGCCAGAGCTCAGAGGCGGTGTCTCGCACTCGGCTGGGTGGGCTCTCGCCAGCGAGCCACGCTTCCTTGTGTTGTTATCGAAAGAGATGATCGATTCGAGATCCGCCGACCGACCTCGGGGTCGATCACGAATCGAGAGGAGCCGTCCGGAGCCGTCAACGCGTCGTTCGAACGACGGCGACCTCCCCGCGGGCGAGCGGCGCCAAGACCGTCGTCAGGACGGCGTCAGGACGGCGCCGAGGGCGTGGAGGGCGTGCCGCCCGTCTCAAAGTCGCATTTCCGTTTTCCTGGAGCGATCACGACGCTTACAGCGCTTTACGAGGCACTCCGGACGCATCAAACGCGGCGTTTTGTTGCGGAGGGTTTTACGCCGGGCTGCCGGAGGGAGACGGAGGCCTGCAGCTCGCCCTGTGCCATGCCATGCGGCGTTCGCAGATGAGCACCTTGAGATTATGGGCATCCCTCTCCCGGGATAGCCGGCACGTGCCCACGCCGTAAACATCCGAGTGAAATCGGCCACTTTCAGCAGTCGCAGGATGCATAGGGTGCTCGGTCTTCTTCAAATTTGACGTCACTGATAAATTGAATCGAGTAAAGTCAACTTGACCAAGCTTCTTATCCATTTGGCGGGCAGCGGCAACCTGCACCGCACAGTGGGCCAGAAGGCCAGTGGAGGCGGCCAAAACTCTAAACGCGTTTTGAGCTCCAGAGTCGCTAAATAGGCCTCGAACCGAACGTGTGACCCCACCAATGGATTGCTCTCCGGACGAGGAGTCCATTGGTGGGGTCACACGTTCGGTTCGAGTCCTGTTTAGCGACTCGGAGCTCAAAACGCGTCTAGAGTTTCGGCCGCCTCCATCGGTCTTCTGGCCCACTGTGCACCGCAACACTGCACCAACATCTCGACGCCTCGCAACAACTCCCGAATGTGCGCGGCGGCAGCGCGGCGGCTGAGTGGTCCACTTTGGGCCGCGCCATTGTTCCGCCGAGCCCCGCTCCTCCTCCTCTTCTTCTTGTTGTTGTTGTTTTTGTTTCAGGAATTAGAATCCGCGCGCGGAAGTGCAAGCCGCGAAACAAAAGACGCGCGGCTCTCAATTGGAGGTAGCCTGGCCGGCCTGGCCGCCGCCGAACACAGTTATTACTGCTGCGCACTCATTCCGAAGGAACGGCCTGTCTCTCTCGCACTCGTGGGGGCCCCCACCTGCTCTTACGAGTGCGAGAGAGACAGACCGTTCCTTCGGAGTGAGCCGCGGCTGGTGCGACAGATAATCCCCGGACTGAATCGGCGAGGATGCCGCTGTTGTTGTTGTTGTTGTCTGCGCGCGCGGATAAAGGAAAATCGCGGCGCGTCTCCATGGAAGTGCAAGCGACGGAAGGCGGGCCCGGCCCGGCCAGGGAGTGATGACACCAGGAAGCGAGCCTGCTAACTAACTCATTTTACGATTAGAGCGCGACGCCCCGCCACGCCGGGCGACTACTCGGAGAGAAAGAGGGGGGGGGGTTCAGCTCTCTGCTCCCGCGCCTTGAGGAGCGGCACAGCAGCGCGCCAAAACCACGGCGCGAGATGCGATGATTGTAGGAGGCGGCCGATGGCGGCACGGTAGCAGTATCTCATGCCCGTCGCCCTGCCCTCGTAAAACGAACAAATTAAAACTTGTATAGGGGTTACCCCAGCAGGTATACAGTCCCACCAGGTATAATCCCATGAGGTATAATCCCACGAGGTATAATTCCCACCAGGTATAATTCCTAACAGATATACACTATTTTAATTTATTTTAATTTACACGGATTCCCA